ATTACAGTAAATTGTTTCACTTACTGAGAAAAATAACAGCAAAACAAAACAAAAAAAACCCACTAACATAAAAGGTTCCCAAAACTACCACTTTGTCATAAATAACTCTGAAAACTAGAATCTTATTTGTTGGATATTTCAGCAGAGAAGGTTACATGAGCAATAACCTAAAAAAAGAGATAATTAATGGTGACAAAAAAATAAAAAAGTAATATGGAGAGATCACAGCAGTTTGGCAAGTCGTGCAAACAGAAATGGTGGCACAAATAGCATCAGCAGAATCAAAGACAGCACTACAGCATTTATTCAGCGATGGCTTTGGCTTCAGTGTTGATCGTTCCGTAAAGTAACTTGATTGGGAATCCAGCCACTTGGGACGAGATCAGGACATCCTTCGCTTCAAGGCATTAGCTGATACCATTTACTGAACGAGCATCTGCTTTAGCATCAGTTCTTGGAAAAGACGGGAAGAGTAGAAAAGAGGAAAAGACTCATAGACCGGCACATGATCTACTCTACAAATGAGTCAGAGATCAATTGCATCCTGATTCTGAAAATCTGAATTTCAGGATGACGTGACACGACGCCTTTCTGAGCATTTCAACGTCTACGTGAAATGCTCCAAAGTATCTTGTGTTTCCCAGAAACAACATGGATTCTCTGATTACATCTAAGACAGTTGAGAGAGCTTCGCTTTCGCAATCAGAGTCCACAATAGGACGAATGCCCTCGTTTCATAGAGTGTGCAACAAGTTTGTCAGCTCGGCTTCTACTTTCTCTTTTGTAAGGTAGAAATAATATATTTCCTCCTGGGTCTTACAGTAATCCACAGAGATTCAGTGAATTGGAGCTGCAACAATCCTTCCTCTTTCCTTCGAAGTAGAATTATGTTTTGACAAAAATAAAGACAGGAACTACTCAATCAAAGTTATCATCCTGGAACTGAAGCCAAGTTCAAGCACCTGTCTTCACAAATGCTGCAGTCAGCAACTTTAAAAATGAGAGTCAAGAAGCTTTTTTATCAGTTGAACTTTTCAAAATATTATCATGCTTTTTATGAAGTTATATAATTGCAGGTGATTACTCAGCTGAGTAAGAATGAAACTGCAACAAAAATCAAAAAGTGACAGTAAAGATATACAGCACTCTTTATGATATGTATAAAAACCGTGCCAAACTGTCTAAGACACACAGATCATAAGGACGAATCGTGTGTGTGTTTTTTTTTTTTTGCTGGGAGTTAAGAATCCGACATGGAAGCTGGAAAAACTCAAGTGTTTCACACAAGAAATAATCCAAATAATCCAAAACATATGTGCCGTCTTCATAACGAAAGCATGCTGTGCTGCAATACTGAAAGAAGGGAGGGATTTTCCTTTTTACTGGAACACTCACAGCTGTTGATGTTTACACAAGCCGGACCTGGAGAGATAGTGCAATTATTTCCTGGACTTAATGCCGCTTTTCCTCGTTGCTTTCCTTGAAACGGCAAAAGTCGAACAAGGAAATTGGTACCGGTTTTGGGAGGGAAAATAAAATAAAAAATTCCCCACATGCAGATGAGACTGACGGAAGCTTTTCTGAAAAAATAGAGCCTCGATCAAACAAAGCTTTTACTATTTCTTTTGACAGACATACAAGTGACGTAATCGCATTGGGTTCCTACATGTGATGGCTCGCGACCTTCTGGTGACAACCAGCCTTTCAGAAACAATGGCTTGAATAAGCTTATTATTCTGCCATGTGACAACCCCAAACAATACCTGATGCTGCAAATAATAATCACAGGAACCTTCATTTAAAATTTGTTTTCTTTCATAATACCCCTCAAAAAATATAATGCAATCTTGATAACTCACTCAGTTTTCTAACTAGAGACCGTCTGTGTACAACGGCTGTTCTGCGAAGTGCTCAAAACTTTCAATTCAATGCACTTTACATAAAAACACAACACATTGCGCTAGCAAAAAAAACATTACAATGGCCTCTGTCAATACAGAGGAATCCTGGGAGAAAAAAAAACAACAGAAAAACAACTACAACAAAAACAGTCTGCAACAGTTTTGAGACCAGAGTGGCCGTTTCCTAGTTTTCATGCAACAACCCTTAACCAGAGCAACAACAGAGTGGTTTAGTCAAAACCTATCGTTAAATCCAATTTGCAACCCGTGACAAGTCTCCATCCAGTTTGACTGAGTTTGAGGCTTTTGAAGACTTGCAATGATTTTAATTGCTGGCTTAATTGGAAGAGACATATCCCCCAAAACACGCAGCCGCTAATGGTGGTTGTGCCAAGTATTGATGGCGGGGCAAATTACCAGTGCACACCGCACCATTCAGATTTTAATCTGTAAGAAACACATTGTTCTTTGACTTCATAACTACACACTACATTTATACAATACAAACAAATTACATTGTTGTTTTCAGTTCAAATATAACAAAATGTAAGAACATTGAAAAAAAGTATCAATCATTTTCTGCACCCTGTCTGTACAAAAAATGACTTGTCATGACTTGCTTTTGCTGAGTCATTGCTGAGGTTCAGCTTCCACAGCTGACAGTCAGCAGCAATGTCTCAGTGAGCCAAGTAGACACATGTACGACTTTTTATTGTCAGCTTTTTATTATCATTAATTATGTTTGAGAATAAGAATGTGGCGTCTGTTTACGGTCGCTGTTGTTGACACACACCTGCATTCAGACACAACACCACCGCCTGCTGCTCGGTCTCTTCCCTTTTAACAGAAATGAAACTTATGGTGCAGGCGCATGCGTCCAGACAAACACCAATTACTGGGTCAGTATCAGAAAGTCACATTTTGTTCAGTCACCAAACTTCACTGCAAGCAAACTCAAAAACACAGAAATCCCTAGCATGTGCAGGAAAACCGAGAAAGACGTGCAGCAGGAGTCGAATCGGTGCAGGGAAACAGTTGGGATGTTTCTCATTAAAGCTGCCTCTGACACGCACAGAGCAGTAACCAGTCCCTTGTGAAGTCCCTCCCTCTGTCTGGCTTTGAGTTTCTTTTTCTCCCTTTATTAGCAGTGGCTAGTGTTGATTCAGTGATGACCATAATAAAACCAAGATGACAAAGAAGGCTGCATATCCATAAATGCATTCACATGCACTGCAAAAGTTGGCCAAATTGTGCAAGCATTGGTGTAATGTGTGTTTGTTTTGAACTATAAGAGCTGCAAATGCAGGTCTGTGACATGCACACACCTTTAGCAGGGACTATATCTGAATCCTAAAGTGAAACATAACAATTCTGACCTCTATTGAGAAGCTCCAGCAAAAAAATCGAGAGCTGCCTCTATCTGACTTCACTTTTTGTGTTTCCTTAAGTTTCCATTTACATTGCTGGAAACCCAAGGAGAACCGGGCGGCCGGAGCTTCACAACTTTTATTGTCTTGAAACACGACCTCAAGTTTCCCCTCTGAGGAGTAAGTTTAGGCCTGACCGTTCAGCTGAATCGGACAACAACATGAGCGCGATCCATTTAAAAGGTGGCTCACAACGTGCAACAGAAACAGAACGTGGAATCGGCCTTTCTGTAAGCCGCACTCACAGATACTTGATCAGCCAGGAAGCAACCACAGAAGCATGAAGAAAATAAACGTACATTTTAATTGTGGGTGGCTATCGCTCAAAAGTAGCGTCATGCTCATTCTCCACTAATTGTCAGGTTGCTTTTTTTTCAGTGTGGGGCGTATTCTCCATGAACGGCAGTCTGATTGCAACAATCGGGCTGGGGGTGTGGGGGGGTCATTCATTTAAACCCATTTTGTCCCACTTCTCAAGAATCACTGAAAAAAGCTAGAAATTGACTTAAAAAAAAAATTCTGAGTAAGCAGTGGCAGATATGAATCACCGCGGCATAATTTTGGTAGATTGTGTTCTTTCAGTTGTGTTCTGCAGAAGAGCTTCCAGTTTCTAAAAAACAGAAGTGGCCACATGCATGACTTCATTTTCATGCCCCAAGTCAACTGATTTATCTGTAGGTTTTTTTTAATTTTTTTTTTTTTTTATAAAACTTGCTTTTCACTCCTGTTTAGTTAAACAAAAAGCATTATATGGATGCTCAAGTGAGAAAATGATCTCAATAAAGTTATATAACTGAGGTCCATGTTTCTAGTCCTCATCAGCCATGTGTGCTATCAGCAGCAACATGTTTGAAGAGTTTTCCTGCAAACATGCATTATAATAGCGTTCACATTTTCAAATAAATTGAATTCAGAAATGTTGCAAATGTTGGCTGACTATGAATACATACATTCCTTGAAATATTAGCACATTAGCATATTCATGTGGAATTTTAAAAAACTAATAAAAACAAACAAACAAAAAAAGAACAAATGTTGCAAAGATTGATGGGTGTCCAACCACCAATCCATTGTAATTTGTTGGTGTAAGAAAAGCTTTTGTGAGCAGAGGTGTGTGTGTGTGTGTGTGTGTAGGGGAGTGGGTGGAGGGGGGGAGCGCTTCAGCCCTGGGGCCCACGTCCTCCTAAAATCGGCCCTGTAATTATGTATATAAACCACACAGACAGTGCACCACTGTGAATCATTGTTTTTCTTTTTGAATAGATCTCTAAAATGAATTAACTATTGCACCTTCAATGACCGGGCTGTCAAATTGTTATGCATAATCAAAAATAAAATAAAATAAAATAAGATAAAATATAAATAAAAAAAATAAATAAACCGTGTTATTTGGGATGCCTTGCATCCCGGGGCAACAAATGCGGGAAAATCGCTCGGATTACTCGAACCTGTCACCTGTGTTTCTGTAAACGTCCATGTGGCTTCGCGGTTCAAATCGAGACTCTCCAAACGGGAGCGAGTTAAAAAGAACTGAAAGAGACTCGGGGATGCGAAGCGGAGCGCAGGGTTTCGCTTTCGTTTCTGAGAAACGACAGAGCTACCGCTAAAAGGCGACGTGTGAGGAGGGGCTTCGCAGAGTATAAAGGCAGTCAGACGAGCTGGCGGCCGGGGATCACACAGAGACAGAGAGACACAGAGAGACAGAGACAGAGAGACACAGAGAGAGAGAGAGAGAGAGAGACAGAGAGAGAGACGCCGAGTCAGAGTCGGAAAGCGTCCCGTGCAACAAGCAGCGTCCCCGGCAGGATTGTCTCCCAGTTTGACCGTCGGCTCTGTGGGATTACTGACTGACTGACGGATCCGTAACAGGCAGCTGCTGTTAAAACAACAACAAACAATCAAACAAACAAACAAAAACAAACCAACGGTGAGACTTTTTACTTTTATTTGATTTGTATTTATTTTTAAATGAGGGGATTTATGATGGACTGTTTCTTTAAAACCACGATAACCTGGATTTTTAAAAAGATGGCTGTTTTTTTTAGGGATTTTCTTTCCCTCCCTGTAGTTTCTGCGCAGGTTCTGCATTCTGTCTGCAGTCTTGTTGTAAATGGACACAAACTCCTTGGAGTGTCCAGGAGTTGAGTGGCAATTTCAGGATCCTGAAGCCAACATAGATCCACATCCCAACCATTAACCATTGTGTTTTCCTGGAATGGTTTTTTTTGTGTGTGTGTGCACTACTTTCCTTTAACTGGGACCATGAACTCAGAGAGGGACAGATGAATCACAAGATCATGACTGAACCTGCTCCTATTCCCCTTTTACTCCAAATGTCACGCTGTCTTTTGCTGTGGTTGTTTTCTAAATCCTCAAACAACAACAAGAACATCAAGAAAAGATTCGAGCATTTAATTCACAGATGAGGTCAGATGCCATTGTGTGGATAGAGACGGAATACAGTAAATTGGATGTGGGTTTACCAGCCAAACCACAAATTCCAGTCATATGAAGAACAGCACCGCTCTGTGGAAAGATTGCATGACTGACATAATGCGCGCACAGCCTTTGATGTGTTTGGACAGTGATTTCCAGAATTTGCAGATGCAAAGCATCGAGACTTAGGCTTTGGGCTCCTCTTTAGAAATGAAACTAAATGCAGAAATAGTCACACAGATGCATTTTTATGCCAAAAAAGTTTTTGCTATGTCAAGAAGAAGAAGAAGAAAAAAAAAACACTTGGAAGCTAAATGTTTTGAGGGTTACTATGTGGTTTTAGCCTTTGGGTTTGAGATGTTACTTGAGGCTTTTGGAAGTGCTGAATAACTAACGTGCGTCTTCTTTCTTCTTTCCTTCAGGATGTCAGTGTGGTGGTTAGAGATGGGAGAGGTTTCAGGGCCTCTCTCCGCTGTAGGATGGTAGCCGACAGCACAGTGGAAGGCCATGAGCGGACCGCCTTACAGAGCACTTCACCAGCACCATCTTCATCATCATCAGCAGCAGCAGCAGCAGCAACCCCTACGCAATCGAAGCAGCTTCAGCGTCAGGCCGGTCCAAATCCCAGCCTGAAGTTCGCGTCCGCCCGCTCTGTGTACCTAACTCATTTCCCGACGTTCACCTCCAAGGAGGACTGCGACGTCATCACTGACACAGCCGCCAAGCTTGAGCGCAGCGGCTTCTACTGGGGCCCGTTGGGAGTGGAGGAGGCCCACTGCATGCTCCGCAACGCCCCGCTGGGCAGCTACCTTATCCGCGACAGCCGGCAGAAGGACGTCTTTTTCACCCTGTCCTATCACGACAAGAAAGGACCCGTCAGTGTGCGCATCGACTACAAGCAGCAGAAGTTTTCTCTGGCCGGCAACCAGCGCTCCTTCCCGACGCTCTTTGCCCTCTTGGAGTATTACATGAACACACCCAAGAGGAGCTTGAAGGTCCCGTACAGGAAATGGGAGCCCACGCTGCAGGAGCTGTGCAGGAGACGCATCATGGAGTTGTGCGGAGGAAAGGTCCAGGAGCTGCCGGTCACACATGTGGTCCAAGATTTCCTCTTGGACTTCCCTTACAAACTGTAAACCATCTACCATGCGACTTCTTGGCTGAATTGTTCTTGATTGCAAGATGGCAGCTTTTACCAAGTAACGGTACTGCAATCGGGCTCACGAAGCCTTTGCGTCACAGATCCAGGGGAGAGACGATATGGCTACAAATGACATCGGCGAACCCTCTTTGGATGAAAAACTGTGAAATGCCCGCAAAGGACCACAATAACCGAAGGCGAGCGCAGGGAGGCTGCAGATGGACATTAATCTTTCACGACATTTCAGCATCTACCTCTAGAGACTTGACACCCAGTTGCACATGGACCGAGCCTCCTTTGGTGACGAGGAAGTACAGAAAGTTGAAAAGTGCTGCATTAAATGAAGGCAACACATGCGAAGGAGCTTTTACTGGAATAAAAGTGCCAGTGAGGATAACTGGGGCCGAAACTGAAAGAGCTCAGAAGTGTTGCCGAAGGACTTTAAGGGAACGGACTTTGAAATATTTAGAGTCGTGGTGGAGGGTGCGGTTGAAGCGCCACTTGCAGATTTGTAGCAGATTGAAATACTCTAATGTCCAAACGTTTACATCGCCCTCGGCTGTTCGCCCGCGCCGAAGGCTTGAACACCACTTTACTGTCTTGGTGAAATCTGACGTAAATCAAATCTCGTCACTCAGAGCTGAAGACATGATCGTTCTTTGTACTGTACGAAGAGGCTCATCGCCTCTTATTTCCATGTCTCTGCCAAGCAGATTGTTTTGATTCGCTTTTTTTTTTTCATAAAATTTAGTTAGTATTTTCTAAACTTGTGCACTGTTTTCTATAATGCCTTAAATAAACTATATTTAAATGAACCTCTTTTGCTTTTCCTTCCTCTTTCATCGAGCCTCTGCTGGGTTTTTAATGAAAGTTCTCGTCAGGGTCAGGTGGCAAGTGTCACAGGACAGACAGAAAGTGTGGAATGTAGTGTACAGTATCGCCACCGCACTGACTCATCTCTGTAGGGCAAAGTGACAGGTGGGTGGGGTTACTTTGGTAGTAAATGGAGTGTTACACGTACATAAACACACTTACCAGAACCAGGGGACGAGATGACACATATCGACGGCTGTGATAGTAAATCTATAAATGTGTGGACAGATTCACATTTCTGTTAAGAGGAAGTGGGATATTTCTGAGGCTTCTTGGTTAGACTGTCATGTAGATCGAGATCACTTTTAGAGGCAGAATTCAAGTTTTACATCAGAATTTTCAATAAAACCCACCAGAGTGGGATTTACAAAGCCATAAAGTCAAATCAGAGTGAAACGATTTTGTGCAAACAAACTAGTGTAAAACGTGAGGTTTTAAACCGTCTTGAATGACAGACATGTCCGTTCAAAGCACCTGTGGATGCGCTTGAACGAGGGATTACTCAACGCTTTCGCGTCGCCGCGACTCAACAGCGTTTCATTCAAGATAAATGTTACTCAGTGGGTGTGACTGGTGACCCTGTAAGGTCGAAGACTTACCAGAAGCTTTACTCACTCCTACTCAGCGTCACTGTGCTCATGAGCTCAAACTGAAAGCTTCCTGTAGACTTTCAGGAAGCAGGCTCCTTGTTTGAACAGAGGCAGTACAACAGCCATTGTTCAACGTTGTCAGTTTTATGACGAATTGGAGGCAAACGTTTTCTGTTCCGGTAAGCTGCAAACTTACCGGTAATGAACAAACTTTTGACAAATGTCCTTTTTGAAACAAAAAAACAAACAAACTAAAAAAAAAAACTAATACCAACAATATTGGACATGAGTCTCACTCTTCTTTGGTCATTTGGTGATGATGTGGACAAAAAAAACCAAAAAAAAAAAAAAAACTCTGTGTGGAACAGATCAGGCTGAAACTCTGGCAAACGGCAAAGAGCAAAATCTTTTACTTCTCGTTTGCAGACGGAGAACACACAGCAACCCCAGCACAGCAGCTGTACCTGCAACGAGTTCTGACTTGGAGCTGCAGGCCTCACAATATATTCTTCACACTATGTGGTCACTCCCTGACCCAGAGTCAGCTCCAGTTGGACAGGTTTCATCCACGCTCACTCTTTGCAATGTCACTAAAGGGCCAGCTAATCGCTTGGACGATAAACATCTTCTTGTTCAAAATAAGTGAGTTTCGAGACTCGGGTTTGCTAAAGGAACTATTTTGCATTCCAAGGACATTGTCAGACTCTGAGCTTGTGACATTGAGTAGAGAAATTTGTTGCACCTTAGGGTTTATTCCATCTCACTATTATCTAAACTAACTGTTCTTATCTGTTAACAAACACTGGCGCCTTGCTATGGTATGCGTTGTGCAGCATTGGTCCACTCATCAGTCTCCTGGAGAGAGAGATCAGCAGGGAACCTGTCTGACTAGTTCTGCAGAGACTCTGCATACAGACTGAACAAAAGCTGATGTGGTTAAAGGAGTAAAAGAATGAAATAAAATTGTTAAAAGAAATAATAACACAGTTTTTTTACTTTCCAATGCATCTCACTAGAGTCCAGTTTTTTGGGAAGTTTCTGGTGGTCAGCACAAACACTCTTTTTCCAGTATGCTATGTCCAGTTATCAAGACCACCACGCTTCTGTTGATCCACCAATAGACTCGATTTCAACCTATTGCCAACAGCAGGTTACTGCAGGAGTACCACGTCTAGGTGTCTCCCTCCCATCAACTCGTTTGTTATCAGCAGCAGAGGATTATGGGGCAGAAAAGTTGCCGCACACAGCAAAAATGTCACTTGAACCTTGTCCTGTCATTCTTCATTGTCCTAAAGAGACGTTTCCTTTCTCAAGGCCCTTTGTAGGTGATAGATAAGGATTTGGGCATCGAAACCAAGGTTCACAGCTGCACTTTTGATTTTGGGACTGTCGTTCCCAACAGGAGTCATGACCTCAACTACTGTGTTAATATGTAACTGCTAACAAGTAGTTACACCCAGATTGAGACCAGATGCAAATTTAAAGTAATAATAGAAAATAAGTAAATACATTTCTAGAGAATTTAAGCGGAATGTTGACAGCAGCAGAACTTTTCATGTAAAGTCATTTCCAACACCTCCAGGTAAATACCAGGCACACGAGAAAGAAATGACATCACCTCACACGCTTGACAATTTCACTTTTGGCATTCAGGGTTTCAAAGGAAATGCATTTATCTTTGGAGTTCAGTGTTTCTGTGTGTGATTTAAAGGTAAATATAGAAAAAAAAAAAAAAAAACCCAGTCGTTGACAGTGGGTGTGTCTCGTCTCCATGAGACAGTTTTGGAAAGGTCAAAGCGCCCTTTCATTATCGGTTTGGTCAACGTCACACAGACGCTTGGGGGGCTTGTAAGACTCGTCATCAAATATTCATTTCTTTCACTCCCATGACATTGTGAGGGTATGCGTCATATTTGGTGAAGTTAACTTCAAATTTCTAATCTTTAGAGTTGATCTTGCCTAGCTGTCAGACTCTCAGTCATACCAAACCAGGCCTCCAACGCTGAAACCAAATCTAAACCAAGAGGTTCTGTGACCTTCTGGGGATTTTTTACAAACACTTTTGGTTCTAGACTGACGTAGCCAAACACACTCAGGTGAGTCATTCCGATTATAATAGGCGGTTTCTTTCAAGTAAATCCAAACTGGTTGGTTGGAGGATATAATTTCCTCAGATTAGGGAAGACAACGAGTCAGGAGCTGGTGTCACATCCTAAATTAAATTTAATCAGTGTCGATTCTCTCCTCTTTCCTTATAACTGAAAAAAAAAAAAAAATGAGGTGCGAGTTCATCTTGCCGGTCTGGCGACGACCGAATTATGCGTATCGGTTTAACTCAGCTCATCTGTTTTCAGGACATTCCAGACTATTTTGAGAAGTGAAAGGTGAAGTGAGGTGTTCCACGACTCGGTGTCGTCAGCTGATTTCTAAGGAATTACATTTTCTGTTCCATAACTCGCAGTAGCCATTCAAAAAAAAAAAAACAGTTTCTAAAAACATGAAGAGAAAGCAGGCATTAAGAGGAGGAACAGCAACACATACTTTGACCTTCCAATCGGGGGAGATGAGTCGAGTTTGGATTGCTTACAATCTTACGACATTTTGAAAGGACTTAAGGTTGAACCGAACTTCTTGACTTGTTCTTTAGTGGTTATTCATTAGTCGCAGTCCAGAGGTTATCAGCCCTGCTCTAAGAGGCCACAGAGCTGTCTTCTTTGTATTGAGAAATGTCTTAGAAATTCCCTGAAGACTCCTTAGTCACTTCCTTTTAGTGCAGTCTCCTAAAATTTCCAGTGTGATCACAGAGTTGGAAGGAAAGTCGGGGTGGGTTTGGTTCTCAAAAATCGCTCAACTCTTGTCAAAACACAGTATATATGTTAAACTGCAATCTTATTTCGACCAATAAATTCTAGTGACTCACCGTTTGATTCCTAACATGAATATGTTACATGGAGGAAAAACAAGTTCTGCTTTCTTAAAAAGCCAAGACGACTCTACAAATAGCGAAACATGTTTTTCCTCTAAGAATTTTCTAAATTTTCACGACAACAGAACGCGACAAGACCAGCTTTTTATGGGCTCGGTTTGACGTTATGGAAGTCCACTTGAAAACAATGGTACAGAACAATCCTTGGCATCTCAGCTTAGGATAGTGACTAACAGAGGCTGGAAACAGGATGCATGACTGATTATGAAAATGAATGTTTTCAACACTGAACATTTTATTTATCATGCTTTTATGGTTCAAAGTCCTTAAATTGAGATGCCAGAGAGATGAGAGGCATTTCCAGGCAAAAGGTGCAGAGAACCTTAGATTTTCTATAGGTTTTTAAATCTGTTAGAAATGTCTCTATGGAGCAAAGAGTAGCAGTGCTGTCCCTCCCCAACCTGTTGCTGCACACTGCTAGCTAGCTGGCTGGCTGGCTGAAAGGGAAACGCTATCCCCATTCTCCCTATTCAAAAATATTTCCAGTTTGCCAAAGTAAAATATATAAATAAATCCCCAGGCGTTGTGCAAAAGCAGTGCAGCCAGATAAAGCTTTAGATTTCTGCAAATATTGCTATTAATTTATTTTACACTGGCTTATGTGTGAAGAGAAGTGCCATATTCTCAAAATTTAAATGTCTCGCAAACAAGGAGGTTTTCGCGAGGTATAAAAACCTCATGAACAAAACAAAAGTCTTCGGTCAACAGCTCATGCCCCCAGTTGCCACATGTGAAGACGGTGACGTACATGAAGACTTCAAAAGCACAACAGTGCAAGGAGGAAACAAAGTCAAATCTGTCTGATCTCCACAGTTCAATAAGACAACAGCTTCAATTCATGCTGCGACTGTGGTTCAGTACAGAGAAGACACACACGGCATCGCTCCAGTACCAGGAACCTGTTCACGTTTACGCACACACCACCAGACTTCCCTGAAGAGAGGAACCACGATAAAAAGTAACACGTACAGACCACAAGATGACTGAGGGCCACAGAGAGACAGAGGCCACGTCATGATCTTCGCTTCACACAGGCTCTCCATCTCGCACAGAAAGCAAAATGCAGGGTCTACATCGAGTTGTGAAACAGCAGAGAAATGAGATGGAAGCAGGTGGTAGTTTAAAAGACCTGAACCGAAGGACCACAAACAAATCAAGGTTGTCCATTGTGAGATGAAAATGTTAAGCTGTATGATATTTTATTTTTATTTTTTACAGACACTGAGGTTTAGAGTCTACCTACACGGACCGCGGCGGCAAAGAATCACGACTGTTGTTAAGTAGAATAATTTATTGCGGTTCTTTATTCCTCTGTTTTAATTCATTAACTTACAGTACTTACAAGTTTTAAAGCACAGAGCATTTACAGGGCGTACAAACATATCAAACACACTCACACACTACAATCAGACAGCAATGGAGGGTCCTAACGGCATGTTGTGGTTTTGGTTTTAGGCACATGATGACATGCTCCTAAAACCCCAACCCCCCCTTCAAGTCCACACACTGCGCAGGGGCTCTTCAGCGTGCGGGTGACCACCATCATCATCACCATCATCATCACCATTCTGCTAAGTAGAATGAAAAGATTAAGAGACAGACCCATAAAAGACAGTATTGCTCTGGATTTAGTCAAAAAATAAGATTAGTAAAGCATTAAGACCTACATTGTGTTCTGATGGCACAAAAAATGCTAAAAAAAAACATTAAAAAAAACCAACTGAGCTGAAGAATAGAAAGCGTGGGAATCAACAGAAGGTAAAAGGGATTAATTGGAGATTTAAACAATCCAAGTGTGCTTTGTTCTAAAGAAATGTAAACAGAAGTTGAAAACGAACATTAATCGAGAGAAAAGTGAAACGCTACATTCATCTCTCCTTATATTGGTTAGTTTTAAGGTTATTGCAGTAGTGCAGCTTCAGTCATCTGATTAAAGTAGGAAGCTAAGAAGCAGTTTGACCTCAGCGTATGGGTTCTGAGGAAGAAAAAGAACACGGGGTTAACCAATCACTCCGACAAGACGAGCAAAATGTCTCTAAGCAATCACACTTAGAAAAAGCCTTAGGGATGTTAGAGCATTCGTCCATTTCGACCCAGATATTTAAAAGATAAAAACATACAATCCTATCTTCTTAACACAGACTTAGCATTAATGAAACTGATACAGTAAATTAATAAATAACAGGGTGATCTAAGATGCTGTTTTTATTCAACTATGTACGTCTGGCATACTCTGCGATTCACCTCTAAAAGTAGACCACTAACAAAAGAATGGAGTGGAAGTTGAAAACCAGGTCAACATATATTAATTTGAGAACTGGTGGCTGCTCCTGATCATCTTCCTTCATGCTATTTTCCACACAGAAAAAAAAATAAAAAAATCAAGTGTGGTTTAGGGTGGTAGAAACAGCTCTTACATGCTGCTGTGAAAAGGCAAGAGAGTGTGTGTGTGTGTGTACACAGTAGTGAACATTGCTGCCCTGTTATGTGAACTGAAATATGTCAGAAAAAGAGGGAAACCTGTTCTGATTATCAGCATGTGGTGTATGAATGATGAACAATCAGAATAAATAGAAAACGCTTGCTGGTTGCGCGTCTCGACACGCGCTTGATAAATCTTGAGCAGACGCACTCGAGTGCTCAGAAAACAATGTGCTTGAGCCTTTCTGGGCTCTGACCAGTGTCTGTCTTTGTTCTCTGAGAGGGGAAAAAGTGTCTTTCTTCATGTGCAAACACAAATTAGGAGGTTCCTCCCGATGCATCCTGGGACTATTTACAATCACATCCAAACATCCCCGTAGATGCTGTCATGAAAACACACTGCAGTGAGGATTGGACAGTCCACCCACCATGCTGTACAGTGTTCAGTGTGTGTGTGTGTGTGTGTGTGTGCGTGAACATAGAAATGTCAGGCTGTTTAATCCAGTTCAGGCGACTCTGCTGCTTGGGCGTGTGTCGTCTCCACAGACTCTGTTGCTGTTGTGCTCTCTCTTTCGTCCTCTAGAGATGCATCCTCACCTTGCTGGTCTGCTCCGTCGGGACCTTCGTCAGTAGGCGTGATCAAGTCAGTTGTTTCAGTAGTTTCGTCTTTAACCGTAGCATCCGTCTCCGTCTCGTCCATCAGCGACCCATCCTCTTCCTGCAGCTCCTCTTCTCTTTCCGTACAAGCCTCTCTCTCCTCCTCCTCCTCCATTATGGAGGCTTCAGGTCTCTGTAGGCAGTGGGCCACAGCGTACGGATGCAGGTGCGGGGAGTCTGCAGGGGGCAGCAGTGTGAGCGACTCCACGCTCAAGGTGTCGGTGTTGCTGTCCGTCAGCAGGGAGATGGTGGGCTGGGAGGCCGGGGTGAGGCTCGGCGCCAGGGCTGGAGCCGCGACCGGGTTTGAAGGAGTAGATGGGGCTTCTCCGCCTCCTCCTTCACCTTCACCGCCTGAAGAAGAGGACGGAGTGTGCTCCAAATACGCACAATCGTCTGGAGAATGACAAAAGATAGACAGCTGAACTGAGACTTTTTCTTTTCCTCACGTCTGTTGCAAATGAAGAAACTAGTAATTATCTACAGGAAGAATGTTTCTGGTGCAATATACAACATTCACTCCCAACACATTAAACTTGTCCTTAAATTTAATATGCAACTGTCTGAGGAAAAGTCTAAAACTTAAAACAAAACAACTTCTGGCCTCAATGTAAGGACCTAATAAAAGTAAACCTCCTGATCAGACACAGATTTCAAAATGTAAAGAATCTCTTTGATTCCATCCAGTTTCTAAGAACACACACCTCCCCCCACTAACTCTGTATGTCCAGACGGAACCAGCAACTCATTATTACACAGAAAAGTCCTTGTGTGAACCAAGCTCAATGTGCAGAGGCCTGATAAATACCCATCAGGTGATCCAACAGACAATAAAAGGTGTGCGAGTCCAGGGCTTGAGGTCTGATGACACGGGGACTCATGGCTGGGTGATGTTAGTAGATGAGACATAGACTTCTGAAAATACTGCCTTAAAGTTCCTACTTCGAGTAATTTAACAGCTTAAAAATCTCTTATGTTGTCTTCTCAGGTTGTAAATAAACATTGTTTGAAAGGCACATGCAGTTGGTTTATCTATATCCTCTCCCTCTACCAGCCCTACTATTTGTTTGCATTGTAAACCAAGCAGCTTACAGAGAACAAGCAGCACCACCACAGGGTGTGTATGTGTGTACATCCTCATATACACCACATATAGGCATATATATGACCCGGGAACAGAAATGTTTTCACAATGTTACACCACCAAGAACTATTGTGGTTTTGGTGGGTGCATAGAAACACACTACGTGTAGTGAAGTAGAAATACTCTTTCCAAGCGAGTCTCTTCAATCATATCTGCACAATGTTGACGGTAAAATTGATTTTCCTAAAATTATTGAGTCACTTTATACATCCAGTCTGTGTATTTCACAGCTTGTCTGCATGTTTATGAAATGAGAGAAATGAGAGATCCGCTTGTGTGCGTGTGTAGGGGTGTGTGTGCGTGTGTGTGTGTGCGTGTGTGTTACCTGACGGGCTCTGAACAGACGTAGTGCTTGCAGTAACAGAGTCACATCTCCCAGTGCTTCCACTGCCACTGGAGGGAGGCGATGGGGAGGAGAGCGGTGAGGGACTGTGCTGCGGCACACAGTGGGCCACTGCAAAACCTGCGGTGGGTTTGACACGTTATAGACACGTTTACATTGTGTAAACATGTCTGTTCAGACTTTCAAGGGTGCCTTGTCTCATTTTCACAACTTTATGTTCATACTTGTAGCCCATAACAGTTCTATTAATTTTGTTTTTTTTATTGTGGAAAGCCTGCAGATGAAAGACAAAACAAAGCAAAAAAAATCCCATGCCGCTTCACAACACAAAATCATCAAGAGACAACAGTAGCATTACCAAAAACCTCCAGATCCAACTTCAGAAGGAGGAAGTCAGGAGTAGTGAGATACTAGTTGAGATCTAACAAACCAGCAATGTACTGAGAGATTTCAGAGCTCTCTGATGATCCAAGAGCACCTTACTGCATTAAGAATAAAACCTTGTGAAAGCATTAAAAAACCCTGAAATTTGAAACAGATTTTGGCAATATTCTGATTATCATTTGTGTTTCAAATCTGATCAGCCTTTGAACTTCTAAGCCACCCCGGCACTAGACAAATCCTGTAGCGTTAGGCTCCTTGACGCCGTCAATGGTGAAGAAGGTATTATTTGAAACTCAGTTGATTTTCTCTTACACAATTGGTGAGGAGTTTTTTTCCTCATAAAGGATGTTATCCAATCTGTCTAAAATTATCTCTTACAACATGCTGAGCCAAAGAACTCACCAACATGTCATACATGTGGGTGGAAGGGAAGTTAAAATACTGGGGATACATCTGCAGTAAAATACTTGCTCCTTCATTAAGCTCAGACAAAGAAAAAAATACTGTTGTAGTTAAACTTTCTGTGAATTAAAACCTCCATCTAACTTTAAAGACTCTCCTTAATTTGACTTAATGTAATATCACAATATCGGTGTGTGCAATCATCATATTGCAGAGGATTGTTTCATATTTCAAGTAATATAGACTAGCAGTTTTCATGTTAATGTAATATTTAGAAAGTTGGACATGGGGATGATCATACTGGACACAAATTGCATTCCTCAGTATGCTAAATGTCACAAAGTATAGTTGTCAGAGATGAGAAGAAGAAAACAGGCATGCAACAAAATAATCTGAGTGACAGGCTTCAAGAAAATGAGGTGACACATGCAAAGTCATTATCGATACAGTTTAATACCTTTTTTTTTTTTTTAATTGGCATGACTGAAAAGGTTCTCCGTTTCAGAAAAGGGTTTCAAAATTTTTCCCTGAAAATATGTTTTTATAAGAAAAACTGCTCTGAAATCAAATCTGCCCTTCCATTACTTCTCAAACAAACTTTTAGATTTTTTGTGATTTATAACCTTTATTTTACTAGCCACCTGTTGGAGGTATTATGTTTTCTACAATCTCCACTTTGCAAACATAGAACTAACTAATAATATACATCACTCGCTTTTCAGATTTTTATTTGCATAAAACTTAAAAGAAAAAAAAGCTATTTTGTTTCATTTCTTTTCCACTTCAGTTATGTTGTACTCTGTGCTTTATCTCAGGCTGATGTTTATGGTTATAATCTGATAAAATGTACAAATGTTCAAGGGGTTCAAATACTATTTACTTGTATAGCATCAAATGAAGCCCAGACGGGACTTTCCAGAACAGTGTTTCTGCATAAAACCTCTAATTCATGCCTGCAGGGTGGAACATTATCATTCCACTTTGATGCTGCAGATGAAATCACAAACTGATTTCCACTTATTTGGAGTTCAGAGCAAATCAGAACTAAACATTTTTAAAACAACCCTTCTCATCGTCAGCACTCGAGGACGGAAACATCTGTGGGTCACCTGGGACTTTGTCGACAGAAGCAAACACTGATCTGTTGGCAGAGGGGTCATTGGGCGCTCGTCTGGACTGCTCGTAGAATCGGAACGGCAGGCCGCTGGGAGAGGCGCTGGCGGTCTGACTGAAACCCATCACCTCCGTAGCACTGGGCTGCACCGGCAGGTCCAACAGAGCTGAATGCACGGGGAGAGGAATAAAGACAGAACAGTATAAACATACGGCACGGCAAAGGAGCCAATTCCTACGTCGGAAAAAAGGAAGCGTTTTTAGTTTTCATTAGATTGCAAGAAATGCACAGCTGTTTCTATGAAACTATGCTGGAAAAACAAAATCCAAAGCAGACTCAAGATGCGGCTGTTCTTGTAGGAGTCACATCCTCTTCAATTTGCTGAACTAAGCCAGATTTTCTATTTGTTTTGTTAGGTTTGAGTGGATTTCTGAAGAATTTGACCATAGTAAGGGGAAGTACAAATCACTTCTGGGTAAAGTGATTTGTGTTCATAATACAAATAGATATGATTTGTACTGTAGCAGGCAGGAACACTGGAGCCAATAAAAGCAAATTATGACAGAGAGGAGAGAAAAACGCTCTAAAGTGCAATATTTGAACTACAGAGATTAAAAATATGTATTTTTAGTTGCTTTAAAGAAAAGAGCAAAACTTTGCTTTTACCATATTTGATAATCATGAATGTTGGAAGTCCAGAAAAAAGACTTTTATAGTTTAACAGAAAGTTGCTTTATATTAGATGAATTTAATGAGAAAACACCTAATGATTAGCTTTTTATGCTATGTGAAACTGTATAACCAGATAAATACCACGTTTTGAATATATAATCTTTTATCCTTCTGTTGTGGATATTTAAAAGTTTGAGATTCTTTTATTTAATGTACTTTGGTTTATTTTTCTTTTATTTGGTTTGTCATTAGTAAAAGCATCCAAAACAACTAGAAAAGAGACACAAATAGCAAAGCAGTCTGATCATTATGCATCGAGTGCATTTTAATACAGCATAGCTTTTTTTGGTTTCCTAAAAAAGATCGTCGACTTCTCCCCTTTCACACATCAAGATTTTCAATAATATAGTTGTTTATTTTGACTTCACATAATCTGCCCATTGTTGTTTTTTTTTTTTTCTTTAAACCAAGGTTCTCTTTTTCATATTTTTGTTGTTAAAGTCTGGGTTTTGCTTCAATATCTTCTTCCCTCATCATGCTCTCTTTTGCAAAGTGCACCAACCCTTCTGCAGCAAAACGCCTGTACAACCTAATGCTGCCACCCCCACTCCTCACGATCTGGATGGTGTTCTCTGGCTCTTTTAGCTGCTCCAGGATTACTGGCTACTTGTCCTGTGAGTGGTCTTCCAGCCCATGTTGGCAGAGGACTTGTTTCACTATGGATAATGACTCTCTTCTGAGCTTCATCTGGCTTCTTTCCTCACCTGCAATCCTTTGCATCTTCATGCGTCGAGCCTGAATGCGACCCTTGGCGAGCCTCTGCTTGGCGATGATGCAGCGGATGTGATCGGCGAAGATGAAGTTGGCCTGCAGAATTGGCAGGGGCTTGGCGTGAGGGTTGGAGCTCGGTTTATGAATGACGATGTTCAGAGCTCGGCTGTCGTCCTCAACACCAGACACCTGCATGTCCTTTAAAAAGGAGGAGGAAGAAGATAGACAGTGAGGAAGGTTCAATTTTAAACTGCAAACTGGGTAATTTGAAGAACTTTTATAGATTAAATTTTTTTGTTTGACTTCGGTGTGATGTCTGAGTTGACAAATATTTTACATTGCAAATGTTAAGCTTTAAAAATCCTAAAGGCTAGTTTTAGTTTTCAATATGAACAGATGTGTAATAAACTCCATTCTTAAACCACCAACTCCAAAAGGCATGCCTCATTATTCCAATTAGTTGACTCATTTGTGAGGTGAAACAATAAATGACTAATGTTTATGGGATTGTCCACGATTGTAATTTTCCTGCGAACTGGGGCTAATTAAAATATTTAATGAACTTCAATGACTTTTGTATACAGAGGCAAAACAAATGTAAAGTATAACAACAACTACTTTTCTCTTACCTGCAAAAGGCCGGCAAACTTGACTACTCCCCAACCAAGACGTTTGGTTTCTGGTTCAACGAGACTCATCTGGTACACGTCTACAGCCAGGAACCTCTGGGCTTGGCTGCCATCTTTGCTGACCACCATACATGCTATCAAGTCACTGTTATCTGAAACAGACAGCAATGTACAGTCCAAATGACTCTTAAAATCACCTGTTAAATGATTGAAAGATAAAGATAACCAACATTGTTTTTATTGTTGCCATTTTTTCTGTTTTATTTAGAATTGGTTAAGACAATTTATAAAGTGTTCTCAACACTGTCGTATTATGTTCAGAGTAGAAAAAGCTAATCTGGGATGTCCCAAATTAGCTACTGGGTACAAATTCAGAATACAGCACATCTGTGACCTAAGTTAACTTGTTCTAGAGATCTGATCACATTTTTACAAGCAAAACTTTAACATAACAATAAAAATATTTTACAAACTTGGGGGGCTCCTATGCGTTTACATTAAAAATAAACCCAAGACATTTGAAAAGGGCTGTGGAAAATCTAAACTAAGGGACAATAAACCTACTTCTGTTTAATTCTTCAACCGGATCACGATCCTGTTCTTTGGAACAACTTTGGGCAGAATAATGAAGTTACTTAAAGAGGAGTGGAGGAATATTTTAGTTCTCTTTGTATTGTGACTTTATGATGCTGTGCTAATTTGTGTACGCAAACCCCAGACAGAAGCATAGTGGGCCAATGCAGCCAGACGGCTTGATGCACTTAAAAGGACAGAGAAGATGCTTTCCTCCCACATGCGGAGGCACAACAAGAACGGATAAGTTCACATATGAGCATTAATTACTGCAGTGCACCACAAAACCAGCAAAGTAAAGCTGCAAATGATCTTATCTGACACCACTGGTTTTGGTTGATATATTGCCCACACTCGACTTTCTCCAAATGTAAACCGACTAAACCAGATGTACAACTCCATGGTTACATTCTCTCTTCCTTCTCATTTTGATCCTCTCTTCCTCCCACCAAGGTATTCAATTGTTTTAACATACACAAGGCCAGAAAAAGTTGTTGGAGATCAGAGTTTCTCTTGCTAGTGTACAAACACGGGAAGGAAGAAACTTTTATTGCTGTTTTATTGTTTCCACTTAGACCAGGGAGTTGTGGAGTACAGACATGCGTGAGCTTGTAAAACGTGTGGTGTGATTAAAGATCAAAGGGGGTTGCCAGGAACTGAGTGACACCTAGTGAAGCAGAAACCAGTGAAAAGTACATTCATCAGGAGAGGTAGTCCTTGGTTTCCAATCGTAACAAGGTATTTAAATGGTCAAAGAAGTTAGGGGAAGTTCGATAAATTCAGTCCCCGAACAAAATGGGAAAAACCACACCACCCCCAATGTCTTATTTTAGCTTTGACAGAAAGTGGTCTGCTTGCTCCGATTACAATCTAGCACCATCGTTTCAGGCAAATTGATGGTATCTATTTCCATGAGCCTTTTTTATTGCCACAAAACGTTGGCCAGGAAGCAACACCATGACCAACTTGTCCACTATAAAGTAAAACAAACAATTCCATACATTGATAGATGATTTGATATCTTCACTTTCCAAAAAGGAGGAAGTGGTTTAGAAATATACAAAATCTTTTTCTGACAAACAAAAGGTCAATATGACATCAGGCGCTTTTACAACAAAAGTTCACACAAACTTAGTAGTATCTATAAAAGTAACCAGAAAGCAATCAAAGCAACTCGAGCTGTCATGTGATCACAACTTTGTTGTGAATGCATTTCAACAACTTTGTTGGGTGACCACACAAAATGAGGGGACTTGTTAAAACAACTAAATGAACCGATAACGCTTAAAGACACTAATGGTTAGAAAATCTTTACTGCCAAAGAGAGTGGAGTGGTGCAGCATCTTCCTCAAAGGAAAAACCAAGACCTCATAATTGGAGGCACTTTAGATGCATTGAAAAGAGATTCTTCAACTAGTGGAGATCTCACATCTCAACTTTTAGGAATGAATGAATTTCTCACCCCCACAAAGCAAGGCTTCTCAGACTACTTCCAAAATCTGGTAGTGGAGAGGATGGAACGGCCTGTCGGCAGTCGTATTCTCAACGCTACTAAAAACTTGTGGGATCAGCTTGGGTGTGTTAATCATGACAGAGTGACCAACAAGACTACAGTAAGATATATTGTATTATGTGATTTGCAGGCACATAATGCCATAAGTAACTGTTACTTTATTATCGTTGTTGTAAAAAAGCTCTATAAATGGAAAATAGCTTAAAAGAAATGTAACTTTGTAATTTGACTCCTTGAAATTGGCTTCTGTCTCTTTAACAAATTCCTACTATTTCTGACACTGCCTTCAGCACAGCGTCACAACAATGCTCCTTCATTATGCTGTTTCCAGTCATCCTTAGAGATGATGACAGAATATAGTCTGTCTCATAAACTCAGCAGCTGCACAGCTACAAGAGGTGTTTTCTAATTGCTGCTGCTCCTAGTCTGTAGGATCTCTGTGGGGAAGTAGCAGGAGGCTGCAGCTCCGAGGAGCTTTAGGTAACTAGGCGGTGCTTTGTGAAAGCAAACGCTTAGGCAGGAACTGAGTGCCATGGGAGATTCAAGGATTTCTCAAACATGCATGAGAGAATCAAAGCAACATTTCAGGTATTATTTTGATGCAGTAACATACCCTCTAAAATAAGTGATTCTTTATAAAAGGGTTAAAGTCTTCAAACTTTATATTAATCTGAAATAATCTCCACTTATCTTTCAAGCAGAGTGTTCATGTTTGAGAGTGTTGCATTAAAGTCGTCTCAGCACATTTGTTTCTCTTATGAAACAGTACACTGACCTGAACATTTTGAAATTTGGCAATATCCAAAATGAAACAGCACCTTTCACCTCCAAAACTCCCCAAACTTGTCAAGACAAAGAAATGCTCCATGATTCAAAAGTTATTAGAAGAGGAGGTGGAATGTAGGTGGTGGCAACCTAAGGGTCAAAAAAAAAAAAAAAAACCAACACATTTGTGGGTGGAAGACTGAAGAGGTTATTCTTCCCACTCACCAGGAAAAAACCCTCCCCCTCCGCCTGCAATTACTAAGAACGTGTTCTTAGATAATCACCCAACTTACAAATACAGTCAAACAAGAAAAGCAATTTTTTTTTTAATCAACTGTTTGCAACTCGGAGTCATTATTACTTGGCTGAAGATCATCTTTTCAGTGACATCAATTCCAGGAAGTCAGACCACATGACACCTAATAGGTTTGTCAAAACCCAGATCTGCCACAGCCTCTTTCGACTGGCATTTGGAAAGATCAGAACACAAGAGTTTCAGCCACTGAGTTAGAGATGAAAGTAAAACAGAAGTGAGATATTTGGTCTATGTTTTATCTAACTCTGTCAAAAGTCTTTCCTTTTATCTTATGTCCTTTTCCGAAAAGGAAATAAGGAAAGTCCTAAGATATTAATCAAGTCCAGTCATAGAAATGTAAAACCTACAAGATAGTCTAACTGCCAATGGACACAGATAAAGCAGATGGTGGCGACAGACAACACTGCTGTGTCACTGGTTTGTTACAACTGTCAGACAACAGGCTGACACCACGATTTGCAACCAGACATGTTTTTCGAGTTGACTCACCACAGATAACATAACATTTAAATGCCACCGCTACCTACATACGACACAGACTGCACAGTCACCAATACCAAAGAAAACCCATGAGATCTATAGAAGCCACGCATCTTCAAAACGGATCCTCAAAGCAGAAATCTGTATGCTTGTTATAATTTTGATCAAATCTATGGACATGTGCAGTCAAGGGACAGAACTTCCTCTGTGGTTTAGTTTGGTTTCTCATCTGTTTAAAACTTGTGCAAAGCAACGCCTGGTAAGAGCATTCACAGCCAACAAAGTTTTCGACGTTGAGCCATTTTAGAAACAGTGTTCAATATATACAGCATGGCAGATCTGCAAACCTTTGGACATTTCTTAGGTAGAAGGGACTAAAAAGAAAGGCAGGCAAGAGGGCCATGGTAACTATTGAAGAGCTGCAAAGTGTTGACATAAAAGATTGAATACAAACATGCAGCAAAGTGTTTTGATGTTTTGGAAAGAAGAAGTAAATGTTCAACTTCAAAATTTTTACTTTTGTGTTGGTCCATTTAATAAAATCCTTTCGCCCACAAAAACACATACAATAAAGTTTGTTTAAACATAAAATGTCTAAGGTGATATGAATACTTTTGGCAATATGGTCATGTTGAGACTGAGGTTAGGAAAGTGATGACAGAGATAAGTTCTCCTTCACTGTATGTAGCAGTGTCCTCAGAGCAGACATTTTAATGCACCAATAAAAACATAAAAAAGAAGCTGAAAGTTTAGCATCGACTCTACAAATGTCCGTCATGTTTCGCTTTATTACACTGAGGGTAATTAGACCTTCTATAGTAAATGATCACAAGAAAACCACCAGATTTATATACATTTTAACTATAATATTTAATAGTCTAAGGTTATTGTTCAATTATGTTCAACATTAACAAAAATGCAGAAATATAAGAATGCTATGTGTTTGGTTGCAAAGTCAATGAACCGAATATATTATAGAGTATTAGGACTGGTTCACATTACTGTGCAGCTGGAGAGCTAACCACGTACGAGTTTCCAAAACATACCTGTGAACAGTGAAAGAAAACTGCTCAGGTTATCAGTGTGTAGGAAGCTGCATTGCTAAGGGGATGTGTGAGCTCAGCTCTGCATCGCTGTGGTTGTTAATCTTTGCATGGTGCATCTGTAAACTCTGCACTCTGTTTTAGAATGGCCGCTTTCCTCAGCAGAGAAAATGAGCGAGAAGTTTGTGAGATCGAAGCGTTTTAACTGTGGAGTGCAGGAAACTCTAAAAGGTCCCCTCTCAACAGGAAAACCAATTTATTTTTGTTTGAGTGACTCAGATCAGATTTCACTTTCTTTCAAATTATTAATGACATCATTCCTATAACTAAGCCTGAGTGTGAGACTCTTACTGAGGTCTAAGACATCATCTGTCTTGATTAGGTCTTCGGGTCGGGTCAAGGGGAGCTGAGTTTCTGGTTCTCCCTGAAGCTGTAGTGACAATGACCGCAACATGAAGAACACTCGAATAGCCTGAAAGAGAAACAAAGAGGTGCCAGAAAAAAAGCCTATGATGAATGTATTTAAGGAGCAATCACAGCCAGGGTTTGAAAAAGAAAATTCCAGAATGCGAAAGGACATCAACACACTGACATTATCAACAAACTGAAAACAAGAAGCTGTCTGAGAGAAAATCTAAGATTTGCTTTGCTGGGAATGTTACAATCAGTGCCCTGAGCTCCTGTATGCGGGTGCATCTGTTTTGACAAACCTTGCGGGTCTTCTCTACGTCTCCACAAGGTAGTCTCTTTACAAAGTCGATACCCGTCAGAGGGGTGCCGGTGGGCGGCAGCAGTATGGAGGCATCCATCATTAGGTATTCCACATTCAGAGGTTTACTCTGCAACAAATACACCACGATGAGTGACAGGAAACAAACACCTCAAAACTACACTTTCATTTCAAATGTATTATTACTAAGGTTCACCTACCGTCATGCTTCTGTATTCATCTTCAAACATGTCCAGAAAGATTTCTTCACCCTGTGACAAAAAAACCCCCAAAAAACTTGAAAGCTGCTTCAGAAACTATATTAAAACACAAGTCATAAGACGTTTATAAAATCTATTAAGCCATCAATATTCTAAATCGCTAAGCATCCAACCATATTGATGTAGCTTGAGATCTAAATACATTGACTAAATATTAAGTGTTTTTGTACTTTTGACTATGTATCTTGAACTGACAGCTTTTTTTAAACAACATTTTTATCAAATGTAATGTATGCACAAACAAGAAACATTGGCATTTTTTAAAATCGGCTTAGAAAAACTATATAAAGGCCAAAAGTAAATTATTTACATCTTATTCTTGCAAGATTTTATAGATTTCTGGCACCGAAAATCGATAAGATATGATATATACTCTGTAAATCAGTAACTTAATTGTCAACAGACAAAAAGTCAGTCAAAGTAAAAGCAATCCGCAGATCTGGAGACAGCGATAGTGTCATAATTGAAGCATTTATGACTGGAATATTGCACAAAGATGAGCAACATTGATAGCGCGCAACAATGAAAGCCATTGTTCTCCAAAAGTATCCCAGATTACATCAGATAAGGTCATCTGGCTTTAGTAACATTCAACACAAATTGGTGCAAAGACCTGATGATTAAAAACACAGGCTTACAGCAATTAGTATGTTTTTTTTTAAGAGAAACAAACCAAAAAACAAACTTTTAATTTAAAAAGAAAAGCAACTCATCTGACTGATCGCAAAACAATATCCACAATGACTCAAATCAAAAATGAAAGTAAAGATAAAATTTTACATTTAAGTGTAAAGAACAAACAAAATGCCAACATTTTAACTTTAACAAAGCTTCTTCTCAGGCGGGGGTTACTTTCAATTACAACTAACCGACTAATCAGATGGAAACTGGGAGGTTTTCACCTAGTTTCTGTTATGAGGCTGTTCTCGGATTAATCTGGATGCAACACAAGAATTTCTGTTGTTCCCTTTTCTTCCAAAGTCAATTTCTCTGAAATACTGGTGGCCAAATATTAAATGCTTCTTGTTTCAGTGACCTGAAGTGATATTGTGCAACACAAATCAAAAATGAAAGAATGGAAATAATCCTTTTGGAATCCAAAGAATATAAAATGATACCAGTCTTTAATGGAATGCATTGTAAACACATGTGCAGGTATAAAATTAGATAGGCATATAATAAAACATCATGTAGGATATGTATATTCCCCCGGTTCAAAGGTGTGCTGTTGAGATTGGTAGTTTGTGTTATTACCTTGTAAAAGGTCCGCAGTAAATGCAAACTTTCTTCTCTGGCACCCTGCAAACACAAAACTCTGTTTTACCACTCGGAAGTTCACAGAACAATGTTCCCTAGCATCTTAGGGTCTAGCAAACAGTGTAACATGACACAGTCTCAGGGAAATCAACATATACTATAGAAATCTAGATGCATTGCCTGTAGAACTGGTAAGTGAAGCTTCAGTGGGAAAGACAATTGTGCGTTTCCGATGTAGTTCCTGAGAAACACTGGCTTACGAGCAACAATCTTGTCAATCAACTAGTGAGTCACTGCAGCTTATTTATAGGAACAACAGTTACCTTCAAAAGGAAGACAAATAAAGACCAGACACAATCCACTTAAAGCTCATGAGATTACAATTATAAATCAGGTTGTAAATATTAACTGGTTAATCTAATGAAGTCTATTTGTATGGCTTTATGACTGACAAATGATCATTAACAATCAGAGAATCTATACATTGCCGGTAACGGCCTCTGCCTTCGATAATACAAGACCTGAGAGTTGTTGCCTGTAAGAAGTCCAGACTGACTGTATAGTGAAAAATATCTGCTTCACTATCCAACAGGAAAAACTTGATGCAATTATGATTTATATACAATCTGTTTTATGGTATTTTATATTAACACAAAAATAAAAACAGCTGTAAGAGTTGTTGCACTTCGAGAGGAGACCTAATCAATTATTGCTTCAAATATTGGCACCGCAGGGTGAACTTTCCTTTGAAATATTTATCTGTTGTTTAGCATATCCTGGAATTCAGCAGCATAAATTGATGAGACAGGAACAGAAACCACAGACAGTAAACAAAATAAATTATGAGTTATTGGACTCTTGGAGAAAGGAGGGAAGTCTGTTCAAGGAGATTCTCATAATGAGTCTTAACAAGAAGTAAGCACTTCACTAGAAACCCAGATTCTAGCGAAGCAACATGACAAGGAAACATCTGGCTCCTGTTATCTGGAATTCATTCTGTCAGGAGAGATAAAGAAACATGACACTTCTTTTTTTTCTTTTTACACAATGCATCACTTGGAAGCTATTATCTGCATGTAGAGTATGTGCGTTACCTCGAGGCAGGCTAGATGGACATCTTTAATTATACAGTGGCTTCCCGACAAAACTGACTGCTTCAACAGAAGGCAGCTCAGCTCAAGTGTTGCGAGTCGAACTTTCCCATCTGGGAAAAAAATAAATGGGAATGGCAGTTATCACATTAAGTGCCCAGTTAAGAAACAATTTACATGAATGGTGAACTCCTCTCTAATTCACGACGAACAGATAGGATGTGCTCATTCATGTCATGTACTGGTGGTTTCAAGGCAACAGATTGGTAATACTTGTATTTTCAAAGAGGATCGTCTTGAAACATATAGATTCTCGGTGACTCCATGCCCCACTGTTTGGCCTGGTAATCAGCATTTAAAGCTGAATTTTTGTCTTACCTGGCAATGCTGCCTGGTTCATTATTCTGATCAGTCTTTCCACAAGCACCACGCTGTAAGAACCTCTCTCCTGGTCGGGAACCGGCAACTGCAGACGCTCCAGGAGATCACGGTTCACACCTTCAACAAAATTTGAAATTTTAAAATCATTATATCATAAAATATCATTTTATGAAGGTATGTCAAACTCTAGACCAGACTTCAATAATCAGGGGATGACTCTGATTATCCCCTCATTATTGAATACAGGCTATCAGGAACCGAGCTGACAAATACTCCAAAGGTAATGAACTGTGACTCATAACAACATCATATAGTTGTTAAAAAGCAATGGGGCGTGAAACTGGAAAAGGAAGCTGCCAATATCTTTTATGTGAGAAAAAAAAACAATAACAAAACATTTCCAAGCTTGCATCCGCCAGTCGAGGACACAATTTGTTCACAAAATTCATTACATGGAAACATCAAACAATCCGCATCCAAGGACTATTTATAGAACATTTGGAGAGGAATGGACTGTGTGACGTTAACACTGACTGCTGCAAATTAACAAACCTTTGCTGTGTGAGATAGCATAGAGTAGACAGAGCACAAACAGAGCGTGGTAGTCATCATTGGTGCACTCCAAGGCACTGTACACCATGTCCAGGAACGGCCTGCGAGGGCGAGAAGATGACAAGATGTCGACCCACTGACATCATGTCCTCATGTATTGCTGTGTGAAGGACGGTGTAAACCTGTACCTGCTTCTTTCTGTGTGTGTTCGAGTGGCAGCAGCGGTCTTCTCTTCATCGGTGATGTTCTGTTCAGTCAGTTCTGATGCTCTACACTTTTCCATCACCACCATCTCAATTTCTGTGTGCAGATAAACATACACACACACACACACACACGCACACACACACACACACACACACACACACACACACACACACACACACACACACACACACACACACACACACACGTTATAGTTTAAGGTGCACTCCCCACAAACTTCTGTTTCTAATGGTATACCACACTGTCAGCAAGATCATAAAAATAAAAATTTAAACTCAACCTTTTTTACATTTCAACCAAACTTCACAAAATTTTTGTGGAATTTTGTGATACTCCAACACAAAGCAGTGTACAGCTGTAGGAAAATGCAAGTTTCCCTAACAGCTTGCAAATAAAAACCTGAGTGAAAGGGTCCATTTGCATTTACCCCTTTTCATGACAATACCCCTAATTAAACCCAGTTTCATGTAATACTATGAGAGTATTAATCTGTTGCATCATTTTATCCATTTGATTGATTAGTTTTATAATTAAGTCGATATTTTTTTCTTTTTTTACTTTTATTGCCATTAGTGTATAATAGCAATTGTACACTAATGGCAATAGCTTTTCCTGAGCTTTCACCTAATATGAGACCAACCTGTTGCCTTCCCCTGCCTGTCCTCATTCTTTCTCTCTCTTCCGCTCTTTCTTCTCTCCACCCTCACAGCTGGATGATATGAACTTTGTGTTAAGTAGGTTTAAGAAAGACAGCAGTCAGTTTTTCAAAAGTTTAAAATAATGGCTGGATACTACATTTGATCTGACACGTCACAACAGCGCTGTAGCGTTATACTGTGTGAAGACATTTAAACTCCAGTTTATCACTGCCAAGTTCTATAACTTTTTCTGATTCAAGTTAAATGATTGCAGTCGAAACAACAAACTGTTTTCTTAATTTTTCTTGCTATAATCTATTAGAAATGCAGCATACACTCGCAAAAAACCAGCGGTATGTTATTTTGCTAGTAATTTAAACTAACCTGAATATTTACAAGCCTCCTCTGCATACAATGACAAAACCTACCAGCCGTCTTTCAAACACTTTGAAAAGCTTTTTTAATCCCTAGGCCTTTTATCCTTCTGCCTCTTCTTTTTGTTTTGTGCCCCTGCGTTTTGTTTTGTGCCCCTGCGTTTTGTTTTTTGCCTCTCCACCTTTAGTCCCCAGTCATCAGATAACACGATTTAAAATTGCACCCTTGCACGTCCTTGAGCATCTTTAAATTTTCTATTCAGCAATCTCAGAGGTTCCTGTTTTGTATTATTGTACAAATATGTCAAAGTTAAAGTAAGATAACCATAATTTTGTGTATTTAAGACAGCTGACAAAAAATATTGTCTTTTGGTCAGTCCTCAATAAAAGCAGAATGATCAGGTTTTTAAGAAAATTGCAATTAGAGGAGCAAGAAGATCAGTCAACTTTAACTCATGAACTGATTACTTGCACTTCTAGGCCATATGCAAGTCCAGAACATGTTCCAAGTTTAATTAGGTCAAATAAAATACACCCAAACAGCAAAGAAATGTTGCACATGTAGGAAGATAGGTAAAATATAATTTGCATTTTAAAATATGATAAGCATCTTAGACAATCCATGTGCTATTTAAGTTTCTAATTTTACTGCATGGTTTACCAACCTGCTAAGTAGTGTAGGCGTTGTTTTTTCCTACCCATTGAGTACACATCTTATTTTGAAACTACTTCTTGCTAATCTGCCCACCACCTTACATTTGCAAAAATCCACACAGTCAATGTTTTTTCCTCTGGGTCTAAAGAGTTGTTAAAAATGTCTCCCTGCAAACTCTCTTGACTACTCCATCACAACAAACAAACAAAAAAAAGAATTAATTTCAGATGATTGAAATGGTCACAAACAAAGTGGAAGCTGTATATAAAACACACAAACATAGTAAGAGAAGCAGTGGGAGAAAGGCAGAGGTGAGGAGCACGGGATGGATGGTGTATCATCGCAGGAATGGACAGTTTTGCTTTAATGGACATTGTGTTTCATTGGGGTTATTTATGGATAAATTAAAAAAATATCCCAAACAGTGGAAAGAGCAAAGCCTGCATCATAATCCTCAATTTTCTGTTTTCATGATTCTTAATTTGGCTTTATCCAATGAGGTCACAGACAAAGAGGTTAAACGGTTTGGAAAAAACAAGGTTAGGAAAAAACAAGGTTTGGAAATGTTTTCATCATCACCCAAAGGAATATCAAAGCAGAGAGCAATTAAAAGGTTGACTAAAATGCAGCCTTGTTGTCCTTTTAGCTCTTCTCTTTTCTGTTTGGAGGACTTATGGGGAACAAGAAGTCTGATTGATGGGAGAAAATACACACAAACACAGTCCTGTACTGCTGTGTCCGATGAGACACAAACTCACCTTCCGCCATCTCTCCACTCGCTCTGCCTCCCTTAGAGCACCCACTTCCTCCTCCTCCTAATCCCTCTGTACCTTTTCCCTTCTCCCTCTCTCCTCCTCTGCCGCTGTCGTCATCCCAGCCCTCCTCCACCTCTCCTGCACAACTGCTGCCGCCGCCCCCTGCTCTGTCGTCGTCCTCCTCGCCCAGGTTTTTGTAATTCGGCCTTTTCTGAGTTCTTTTGCGGCCTCGGTGGCGAGACATTTCCAGCGACCGCTCCAGAGACTCTGGGGGTTTGACGAAGCGGCGCACACCTGCTGCGGTGGCATGCTGGAGGAAAACAGTAGCAGAGGGACAAAGAGGGAAAAGGTGAGAAAACAGGGAATTCATAAAATTCCTGGAAGTTTTTTTTTATTTATTTAAACAAACTGACCAAATAGTGGTACTCGTATGAGGTTTTTCTGCTTTTGGCTTCCTCCCTAAATGTTCAGAACACATTATTCCAACAAATCCAATATCTGCAAAAATGGTTACACAACCATTTCTAATGCTTTGGGACAGCTGGGAGCACCTTTATCCAAAGAAAACAAGGAAAATCCTTGAAAATCAAAAAGTACAGAAAGGCTCCCATCACATCTCGAGGATCCACAAAATGTCTGGAGAAATATTAAAAGCAACTAAGGAGGATTAGGAAGGATTGATTAACTGAAAATATTCTCCATTTTGCAGTTTTCAAATGACTTTTTGAAATGGGTCCCATCACAACTCAATTGTTTTTGGCCTCACAATAACTTTTAATATTTTTCTTCTTGAGACAAGAAGTCATGGCTCAATCATGCTCCACCATCTTGTATTTTTTTTATTATCTTAAATGCATTTATTTTACAAAATGCTGGAACTGATTGAACAATTTTTATTTTGTTCCACCAAAACAAAAATGTATAATTTTTTTGTTTTATTGGGATGGGCCTTTTTCACAAAAAAATATGCCCAACTTTATAAAACTATAATTTAAGTCAAAAATGCTTTATTTGTCCCAAAGTAAATGAAATGTTGTATCTCGTATCATCTAAGTGCCTTCAGTCAGTTGTCGTGGATAGTTATGCTGTGGGCAAGAAAGATCTCCTGTAGCAGTCGGTCTAGCAAGAAATCTAAAGAGGCCTCTGACTGAAGACTGTTGCTCTATGACAGTCAAATGACATGTCATGACATGCTAGCTGCTCAATATCTTGTCAGGTGTTATAATACAAAGTAACATTGTGGAAGACACCATCACTTGTTAGAGACCACTGCTAATCTCAAATTAGGATTTAAAACAGGAAAATAAGGAAAATAAGTCCTTTAAAATAGGACTTGAAGCAGCCAATCTTGTTTTTTTTTGGGGGGGGAAAAAACAAAACAAAAAAACTACATTTCAGTGATTTAGGGACTCCAATTTTTGAAAACTTTGATAACGATTGCTATTCCGTACCTTCCTAGAAGCAAGAATAAACAGATTATTACATTACTAGGAAACTATTCAATAGAAAACTATGAATCCAGTTTGCAGATACAATTTTCCAGGAAATGGAAATGTCTGTTCTGGATACAGAATAAAGATACTTATCATAATTATTCTCTGAATGAAACATACAAAGGCCTTTTGTACTTGGAAGAGTATAACCCTTGGGCCTCTATAGAGCAACTTATCAAATGTGTATGCGGAAAGAAAAAAACAAACAAAAAACAAACAAAAACACAGATGCTCATGAATAATCATGCAATGGGAAAAAGTATCACAATCAAAACCTCTCTGCACACACAAACACACACACAGTTACCATAAATGCTTATTGCATTATCAGTGCTCATCAAGGTCACTTAAAAAAAATATCTATAAACCATTTCCTCCAAGATGCAGATAGGCACAACATGCGAGAAAATGACCCAGACACAAACTACACCTATGACACCAATGCATAAAATTATGGGCTTGTTGGTCCCTGCCGTGAAAAAAGAGTGCAGCAAAAAAAAAAAAAAAAAAAAAAAAAAAAAACGCCATTCTTCCGACATTCGGTTGCAATGCTTAAAGTTTCAAACCACATGTTCTGAACCGAACAGGAAACAGCTGGTAAATAAAAAAGCAGCAGCACAGTGATGTTAAACCAGTGACTTACAGGAAAGACTGAAAAACTTGTGAAATTGTTAGCACTGCCGAAAAAAATCTAATAAAATGAACAGCTGATAAAATAATATAAATGGCCCAGAACATCCCACCAATTAAAAAAAAACATATAAACACAAATCTGAACAAGTCATTGTGAGGACAAGAGATCCAGCTAGATATGGAGAGGTAGGAAAAAACGACTGAAGACATGCATGATGACACAGAGATGAATCGAGTTCAAACTTTTGGAGCAGCTGGAACCCAGTAAAATATACCAAACGTAATGAAATAGTCCCAAGCACAAAGGCGAACTATGGCTTGAATCGTACCAAACGCGGCCTACTCAGACTTCCAAGAAGTCAGTCAGATGTCAGCATTGTTCACTTTGATTTTTCTGACATTCCTTTTCCATGTCAAGCACTTTGACTTGCTGGACTGAGCCAAAATTCTGGGTAAATTGAAGTCAGTCAGATGTCTGACTGCAAAGCAGAGAGTTGAGCTGACATGGAACCACAACACCCCAGATACAGTGAGAGCTGCAATCTGTAGGAGCAAGGTCAACAATTTTATAATGCAGTCAGGCCAATCTGTGAGAAGCGCAAACGTCAACTGCTGAAAACCCAACGTCAGCTGAAAACTTGTTCAACTCAGTATTCCCAGAACCTGCAGAATTAAATGCTTGCATATTTATGTACATGTTCAGGATATGCATTTCCCTCTAAGAGATGACCAAAAAAAATTGTATAATACCGGGAATAAATTAATCTTTGATCCTGAAGGCTTAAAAATCTGGTTATGTTTTGTGTTTTTAACAGTAAAGCAAATGGAAAATTGCTCTGAAAATACAAACAATGGAACAAAACTTTTATAGATTTCACAAAAACAAAAATATTTAAAAAAAAACTGTCATAACAACAATAGTGGGATATAAAGATACACGAAGATAGAGGTAATACTGAAATGTATAGGTATTCAAAACCCTTAAAAATTGCCTGGATTGTCACCTTAATGCTTTAAGATTGATAGCAAAGTAGTTTCCAACACTAGAGAAGAAACGGCTGAAAATTTTCTGATTTTCAGATTTATCCCTCAAAAATCTTTCTCCAATCAACTATCCCTCAATAAATAAGTGCTTTCAGGTCACACCAACAACATTCTTCAGTGAGAAAGTGGTTAGCAATGGAAGACTTAGGTGCCATCAGTAAGGCATCAACAGGTGATGTCAAAGGAAGCAGAAAAGCTATAAGCTAAAGCTAAAAGCTAAATATTGGACACAATGTCCAATATTTGAAGTTAGTAATGCTAACTTTTAACTTGGGATTTCAACAAGGGTTTGTCAACTCAATTGTGAATTGGAAAAAAAAATTGGCCAAAAGTCAAAAAATCAAGACAAAATAAAGCAAAACAAGATTTAACTATTATTTTTTTCTTATTCAGACATAGCTAAGGATACTGCTAAAAAAGTCAAGGTTAAAGAAAACACTGAAATCTACACAAAATATATGTAAGTGATTAAGTTTATCCAAAAAACTGAAACTAGACAGCCTCACCGTCTCGTGCAAACAAACCATGAAGCATAAACATAGCAACACACTGGCTATGGAAACAAACTGCTTTAAAGACAGGCATAAACCTCTGACGGTTTCACAGCAGCCTTCCTCAGCCAAGGGAGAGCATAGATTAAACCATGGTTGGTTTAGCTGCGGTTTAATTGATTGGGAAGTAATAGAAAAAAAATAATTCCCCAATTAATTTTTTTTCTTGATCTACTGGGTTCTCATGAAAGCAAAATTTATAATAATTTTCTGCAATTACTACTTTATTACAGCTTGATGAGAAAAATATGTAAATATCCTTTCATGTTTATGTGCTTATCAATATTAAAATGTCTAACTGAATTTGTTTTGCATCATTTACAAGGAAAGGCCTCCTATGAATATGTTAAGGAGGATTGTATTGTAGCTGCAGCCAAACACACACTCAGCATGCTGTCTGACAAAAACCACAAACTAGTATCTGTGTGTGTGTGTTGCACCTGCTAGCTGACAATGTTCTGGTAAACCGCTCACAGTCTCAGCCACTGCTGAGAAATTAATGGAGGTCAGGGAGCATGCCCTGCGCAGACACACACGTAAAAACACCCCAAACCAAAACAGACGCTTAAAAAGAGAGCACACTGTGCAGGTAGAACATCAGCGGCTACATATCGGCGTAAACTAAAAACAGCCGATCTCGCTTTTGGGGGGGAAAAAAAAAACTACAAGCTGCTAAACGTATGCAAATACTGACATTATGTATCTAACTGGTGCACTTGCAAGAAAACACATCTACAAAAGCAATAGAGAGAGGAAAAACACACTGCTTCCAGGAAAGAGATCTGGGTTAGGTGAGCCAGCCCTGTCAGTGTTCCACCATGTGACCTAATTTCCTGCCACATCACAGACAAACAGGAAGTGCCATTTTACCACCTGCGAAGAAACGCGGCTCATTCCTGATCTGCCTCCTTTTCATCTACCAGAAATCAAACATCAGATATCTGTTGAGGCGGAAATGATTAACATTCACATCTCACGCCGATTAAAAATTAAAAAAAATAAAATGTACTTTCTATATTGCTTTCTTGAAACTGCCTGATCACTAAACTTGTCATGTTCAAGCAAATGAATATGAGAAGAAAAAAGATCTGATAGTAAGCTAAATGGAAGTAGATTCAATTATTGCTACTAAAGATCATTCATGTACTAACATGAATGATTGGATAGAAAATGTGATGGATGTGACGTAAACCTACGTTTTTGTTTTTGTTTTTGAAGAAGTCCAAAACCATATCCACAGTTCAGAAATTTGAACCCTTGTTTGGGGATGGCTCTCTCCTATTGTGGTCTACCAGAACTGTGAAGGCATTATGCCGTAAGTCACATTCACTGAAAAGGTAGGCAGCTTCTTACAACAGCAGCAGACTGAGCACACAGAAATACACACAGAGCACAGAGAATAACCACAAGGGTTCTGAGAAACGCTCACTACTGCTGCACACCCACCCCCCGCTACAAACAGATGGTCAAAATTAGGAGGGGAGGGTGGAGCACAGGGGGAAGAGAAACTAAAAATCAAGAAGAGAAAAAAAAAGAGGGGGGTGGGTGCTTCAGAAAATGAGAGGTGAAGGGAATAAGACGGGGAACAGAGGGGGATCCTGAAGTGGGAGGGTAAAAAGAAGAGAGGTGAGATGACTAACATGCAGACAGGGGCCATCACGTTATCACAAACCCCAAAAAGTCGGACAGAAAAAAAAATGGCAACAAATAAAAAAATAAAAATTAAAAAAAAAAAAAGGTAAAAATCATTAGCATTTTGATGTGTTGATGTAGGTGACCAATGGGAGAAAACCAAATGACCCTGCGATCTCATAACCACCTACATGCACTTCTGGAACTGTGTGTGTGTGTGTGGTTGTGTGTGTGGTTGTGTGCGTAGGTGTACATTTCTTGTTTGAGCCAATGCGTTTGCTTCACTTGCTAGTTTACGTTTATGTCACTTTGTATACTACTTGGTGAGTCAGATTCTGGTTTTTGGCTATTTTAAACTTTGGGAGCCTAGTTTGCATTTATGTTGCGTTTATACAACAAAATCTGGTACACACAAGGGACTTTTCAGAGTGGATGTGTTGTGTGTGGGTGTTTGTATAGAATACCATGTTTTTGTGTGTGCTGTGAACATCTGGCTGGCAACTGAAAACAGAGAGGTCTCCATTGAGAATAACGTCTGCAAGGGCGTTGACCAGGGGCTGATAGTGGATGATTAGAAACACCTGAAAGAAAGAAAGAAATAAAAAATGTACAAAAACATTAGATTTATGCTACACACTTTTTGAATTGGAAGGAATTTTGATCTTTTGAAATGAACAGCAGAGGAAGTGTTTTTATTTTGAAATTAAAAAAAATCTTTTATGAGAATACTTACTATTCTGTCTTTTATAAGAATTACTTTATAAGTATAAGACGTGTAGATATTGAAGAAAAACACCCCACCACACGATGCTGTCACTATATTTTATGTTAGGCCAGGATTTGAAACTAAGGTCGTCCATGGTGGGTGTCCTTCGGCATTTAGACCAGTTTCTGCTTCAACACCCCTGAATCAATTAATTAGATCAAACGATAGACTTTATTGAACTTGCTCAGTAGCTAAGGATCTAATTAATGCCTTGGATTCAGCTATGATGGACCAGGGATGAGCTAAAGGTTGCAGGTCTTTTGCAGCCATCAGTGACTACGTCTTATGAGTCTTGGGGGGGATGTGTAATTTGAGTTTCTGATTTTATTTTTATGCACATGCATATCTCTGTGCACTGAATGTTGTCCAAGATGAGAATCAGATCCTGGACCTAAAGTTAGAGTCCAAGTTGAGTCTCAAATTTCTGTTTTTGGAAATTAACTCTGATTCAAGTTCAGAGCTGAGACTTGCTGCCTGTTCTGTGATATCTTCTGTAGCTTACTTGAGACAGCAGGTAAAGCGACACCTGGGGATTAATCTTCCGCTCTTCAGACTGAGAACACAAGAAATATATTATTAGGTCACACAATAAAATTAAATATGAGAACAATCTTGATAATGGTTTGGAAACATCTGCATGCTCAAAGAAAACTCCCTCTATGAACACACTCCTTCCAGAAAAAGAGATCTACTGAAATTCAAATGAAAATGTCAATAAACCACCTTTACACATGACAATATCGGTGACTCAATTATTTAAAAATGTCACTCCATAGTTGTGCATTAAAAACGCATTACTGTGTCAGATGTTCCCTCCTTGACAGCACTACTTTAGATTCCATCACTTTCAAGTATCTATGACTAAGTTACTTTACATAAGATGTCTGTGTCATACCGAAGTACTATTGACGGTGAAGAAATTGATAATGTGTGTAGGTAGATTTTAATCTGTTAGTATAAGTGCTAAAAACAAGAGAAACTCCTTTAACAAAGCATTTATACCAATTCTTCTAAATGTAAAGCTAACAAACAATATAAACAGCCTTGAGTAAAATACAATCTGACCCTGTGGAGAAAAGAGTATCTCGGTTGACACCGAACATACCGTCACAGGACTGACCAAAGAGTAGACATAGAGGGGCAGGAAGAGACGATTAAGGAGGTGGTCGGTTAGCACGTCGTTGAGGAATTCACAGTTGATGATGAGGATGTCATTCAGGTAGTGCAGGTGGTCCAAGTGCTCCGCTACCAGGTCACTTAACTTCCCTCTGTTCTTATGCCTGCAACACAACAGGGAAAAACAAACAACGGCTAAGCTAAGAATTAACTCTTAATCTGTTTAACAAAAATAAATAAATATTAATTACAAAGCAAATCTAATTGTACATGCGCTACATACATAATGCTGTTTCTCCAATGAGGAGTACGAACAAACCTTATAATTCTGAGACAACAATGCCCCCTAGAGGCTACAATGTGACAGAGACACTTACTCTTCATCTGTCTGCACACACTTGTCCAGTTCGATCACATGGCTGCCGATAAACCAGACCAAGTTACTGAAATATGGAACCGCTGTCTTATCTCGAATGTAGTGCAGCATGTGCTGGTTGTCCACTGCAGAGCGGGGGAGCAAAAAGGACTGTTAGTACCAAAGATGCTCAAGGACTTCATTCATACACTTAACACACTTATCTATAGAACAGTGTGCCCAGAATTGAAAATATTAAATTAAAACATTCCCATAAATTAACAGTAGCGGAGCTGAGAAGAATTGATTTTTTGTAAATGAATCTCACACCAGCCCAATTCCTACAGCTAACTAAATGAACCCTCTCACAAACCTATTGGCCATAACCAGGCCAAATTTAAATTTATGTGCACATGTTCGCTATCGTGATTATTTTTAAGAGTTTATTGGATGACACCATGTTCATGAAGACAACACTGTGTATCAAAGGTACAAAACCTTGTATGCCTCGACAGCTTATGGAACGAGATATTTAATTTTCCCCTTGACTGACTGGAGTAACTCTGAAAAATTAAACATTAACATTTTATAAAGTTCTCTGAACTATCTGAAATCCAGATGGGAAAATATTTTTTAAAGCTCCAACATCCACCACTATTAGGATAAATTACCCTCTAGAAAAGTTCAGGTTTTTGAGCAACTTAGGCCAAGAAGAACAATTAAAGTGGCATGCAGGGTTTTCTGTATTTATGCAGGTGAGTGATACATGAATAATGATTTCTAGGCAATTCTACCCATTTATTAGAAACAAATACACCATTAAGAAGAAGCAGGACTTGGTAAAAGCACCTTGAACTGATTTAGCTGTAAAAAATACTTCACATTTGACCAAGAAAAGGGATATTCCATGTACAGATTTCCACTAAGAATAAGTTTTTAATGTAGAACTCTCTGTGTTTGTAGCAGAGTCGGATTAACTGTGCTAAATCAGCTCAGGTAGATGCTGGTACCCAGTTCTAGAAAGACTGAATGAATGGGACCAACTTACATGACACTGCAGTTAGGCAGATGGGACGCGTAGAAGAAAGAGGAGGAGGAGAGACAAGGAGAGGAAGAGCAGGAGTGATTGGAGAGGGGGGGAAACAGACACAGGGTTAATGTGAGTAAAGGGGCGGCTGTGGACGGGTGGAGGCAGGGAAGTGATCCCGCAGTCATTCTGACAAACTGCAAACAACGCCACACATGGAAAAGAAGTATTCATTTTTAATAACAGCTGTTAAAATCTGTTTATTTTTGTTTGTTTTTTTACTAATAATATTCACCAATAAAATGTCAATCTGATCAGCTAGAGTGCCATGGGCACTTATCGTTACAACAAATTTCAATGTATTTTATTGGGCTTTTATGTGATAGATGAGCATAAAGTAGTGCTTCACTGTGGAGTAAATGAAATAGTTTGGACCTGACCATTCAAAAACACAAATAATTTGGTTTAAAAACCTTCACTGTAATTCTGGCCTATATGTTACCAAATCTTGTCCTGCAGGACTCATCAAGTCTCCAAAACATGTTTTTTTTTTTCTTCCAGCCAGCAAACAGTTTCTTGAGGCTTGTCCTGCACCTACTTTGACCAACTTTCCCAGCCTTGCTGAAGAAAAGTATTCCCTCAGTATGAAGCTGCCACAACTGTGTTTAAAAATTGCAGACCAAGTGCTCAGACTAAAGAAATTCATTTTCTGCCTCTTGACGGCTTTTTTAATAGGTGGCTTGTGGCAAATTGTCTAATTGGCTTTCTTCTTGTCACAGTTCCCGAAAAGGCAAAAGGCGTGAACAGCAATTGTTTTCCTGTGAAAGTCTTCTCCTACAGGAGTTGTACAGATTTAATTGCACACAGATTATTCTGCTTACCAATCGGGAAACTTCTAATGGTGACTGGTGGCAGTAAACTTTATTTAGCAGTTTCATAGTGAAGATGGGGACTACGATCACATCTTTTCGGATTTTGAAAACCATGCATCATTCCATTTGACGCATGTGTTTGTCCTAATAAATTGCATTTTATGTTGTTGTAATGAGATTGGTGACAAACTTGTTTCTCCAGGTGGTCGGTTGTTACAGTGCATGGTCAAGGAATCATCGGGAAGCGTCAATTAGTTACAGTTAACTACAGCACAAAGATTTAATTATCTTCATTGTTATTTTGTCCATTTACAAAGAAGGGAGAGGCTAAGAATTTTATAGCGTCTCCTTGACTTGCTAGACTTGGTGTCACCAACTCTTGGCCTGATGCCATGTCAACCAAAAATACTGCAGCGGAGTTTTGCAAACAATTGATTCTTCCACTTGAGAGATTCCTTGTTATATTATAGCTTCTAGCTAAACAAGCAATAAATTCAACAGACTGCAAAGTTACATGGAATATGACTTCTGATTATCTGAAGGAAGAGAGTGAGTTGCCCAGACTAAGTGTTGAAAGTTTCAGAATCAAAATGTCATGGATGATGCAAGGAGAAAAAGTGGCAGGGTACAAAGTGTCACATCCAACAAACATATCCCAGTTATTGAAACAAACGCTGTTGCACAAACTTCATCTGGAGTAAACAGGAAGCTGAGTGTGACAGGAAAAGGTTTTGCCCTTCAGAATGATAAACGGCAGACCAGTCCCTTGAGGAGCTCAGAGAAACACATAAAGTTGAAGGATGTCGCATTACAGGAAGTTTCTGGAAAGCTCTCGAGCAAAGCTGATGCTGAGTTACACAGTGTCCAATTAAATGACCTGCAGTGCAATGTCCAGGATTTCATCAGATTTACAGGAGCTAAGAAGTTGTCTTTTTTCTCAGAAATGGCAAGTAGGTCAGAGAAAAATTTTTGTAATTGCCAAATGATTAGAAAACTAGGACAAAAAATAACAGTTAACGTTTGTCTAAAATTCTAGTAAAAAAAGCAGCAGAGCGCACACGTTAATGCTACCTACTAGTGATGCTCATGCACAGGAAGAAACGGCAGAAAGGAGGAGGAAGCGCATAGGGAAGGCTGTCGGCTGTCCCAGAGTCCTCTGCGTTTGAGGACATGTCTGAGTGCGTGTTGGCATGCATGAGCCCGGCACTCACCTTTGTAGACGTTGAGTGTGATGGTGCGAACTGCGATGCGAACCATGCTTTCTGGGTGGTTGAAAAACTTAATGGCTTCGGTGTACAGGGCAAAGTCATTAGTGTGCTGTGTGTGGGAGACAGAGAGGAGGCGCCGGTGAGCAAGGCTTCACACAGCCACGCTCAGGCTGTACATGACAGCAGAGAGATTAAGAAGGCAACTGGGCAAAAATTCTAACCTCTCTTGGATTTAAGTGACTATTAAGAAAAGAAGTTTAGCTCTGTGACTGATGTAACTCGGAACGTATTATAGAGAGGTTGATAAAAATTCAGACAATACTTTCAACAGTGAAATTAAAGTGAAAGTGATGCAAGATTGTCTGGTGTTTAAGGCGTTAGATGAACTCAAACACTATTTCATGACTTAAATTAAGGACACACACATAATCTTACTTTGTCTAGAATGTTTTTATACTCTATAAACATAGTATTGACTCTTAATGCCATCTCTCTGTGTCCGTGCCTGCTCCTCCACTCTCTTGTTCCTCACTTCCTGAGGCCTCTGTGTAACTAGAGCAGAAACTTCAGTAGTCACTCAGAGGCTTCAGCAAATGAAGCAAACTGATCCTGAAACCAAACCAGCAGCTTGTAATCTAGCTGAAACAAACCTAACTCATTTATCTGACTCAAGCTGAGAGGAGCTGTCCAATGGCGCCACCTGGAGGTGAAAAAAAAACTAAAAACATGAGTGTGCTGCAGGTCATCTTACCACGGCAGGAACAGGTAAAATTAGAAAACAGCTATTTTATGCATTTCTAAATAACTCATTTTACTGTGGTTGTGAATGACACAAAGTAAGCCAAAAAGCAACATAAAAAATACAAAGAAACGTAGATAAAGAAATACTACAAAGTAGCTTTCACTAACATTACAAAAGCTTCAAAATTGTTTTGGTTTCAGGAGCACGGCTACCATTGACAGTACACCAACAACTTTCCCCAGTGTACACAGAAAGAAAGGTACTGTGGAAAAGGTGACATCATCACTAACAGTCCAGGTGTTGAGTTTATGTTTTAGAGTCAACATCCATTACATCCATACAGGCAAATAAGAACTAAATCTACTAAATAAGTTTTAGAGAAAGATTTGTTTTAAAGGAAAGAAAACGGGCTTGTTGTGGAGTTGTTAAATTTGAAAAATGTGTCTTAACAATAAATTTCTTGCAGTTCAGAGATAGTAAAATAAGCTTTTATCAAATGAGCTACTAGTATAAAACTACTGCAATAACTAAGGGAGTTCTGTTATTTTCTCCCTCATTAAAATCCTCTTCAAGCTCCCCTTCTTCTCGACTCGAATGCAAAGAAAACATTTCACTATTCTGTCCATCTTCGTATTCTCGCATGCATCGAACCCCAGTGAGGCCTCACCTCATTGTAGAAGAAGTGCACAGTGTGGTTGTTCAGCTTCAGAGACAGAGTCTTGAGGAAGGAAATATAGTAAGCCATTATCTCTTCATCTGAAAAGTCGAACTTGTGGACGATGATGGAGTTGACATGGTTGTTCGACAACAGATAATCTGTGCACAGAAGAGAACTTAAAATCAATTAAAGAAATACACTAAGAGCTAACAACTGCATAACCACTAGTTTCTCTTTACAAACCTAAAAACCACCAAACGTACCCACGAAGATTAATAGGCTAAAGCTCATACTGTGTTGCTTAGCAAGAGACCTGCAATAGCAACGTCATGTATTTAGTGTTAGTACTTACATAATGAAGTCTCATGGCTGATGTTTTCAAACAGTATGTTGAGGGTCTGAAGTAGTTGGACACAGACGTAGCGACCAGACTTCTGACGCAGGATGTTCAAGAAAAAGACAAACATGTTCTTCTCCAAGAAAAAGCTGCTCACATAAATGACAGAAGAGAAGCAAAGCAAAGTAAGTCATGTTTCTGACCACAAGTTATCAGTCAAAAGAATAAAAGTATTGAAGCATTCTAGCAGCTCCACTAAAGTGGAACCGTTTGGGCTTAAAGACCATTGTTACATTTGGAATATGGAGGTGGCAAACAAAGTAACATATTATTTCTCTCCTTGTTGTGGTGCTTAGCAAACAGAATTACCAAAATTATTCCTAAGTAAATGAAAATAAAAAGCTTGGTCTGATTTAACTTCAGAAACTTAGAAGAAAAAGATGTCTATGTTGTGTGTGTAAACTTCCGCTTTCAACTACAAATTCTTGCAACAACTTAAGTAGCTACTTAGGCTGTCCTTGTCTGAAAGCCTGTTCTTGTTAACACAAAACTAACATAATTCACTAGTCGGGTTTTAAAACAGTTGAGGTTAGACTTTTTTTTCCCTTTAACTCTATCATAATGGAAATCATTTTCCTTTTTTCATGCCATTTTGGATACACCATTTTGGTTAAAATGATTACAGCTTACATTTCCAATTTCTCCAACATCTTAAGTTAAGAAGTGCCACATAAGACCTTCAAAACAATGGTATTCAGCAAATCCATCCATCGCTGCATATTCAACAGAGATCAAATAAGGACTTTGTCCGGGACTTACTCAAACACAGAGCTGTCATTCTGATCTCCCCAAATGAGGATCTCTGTGATGGAGCGGATGGTCTCGACGAGCAGGTTTCGGTTGTGATCCGTTACAGTCGTGTTTTTGGTGAGAATATGGTACATGTATCTGACGGAGATGTGAACAAAGAATAAATACATTTTTAAGGCCTTTCGGTGAAATTTCAGCAGAAACACATGGGAGTAAACAGAGTTTGGAGTGCGGAGCTACACTAAAGCGACGCTGTCCCCCTCCCCCGCCTGTTGATGTGTACAACAACAACAAATGTGACCAGTACTGGCCAACAAAAATTTATAGGGTTATAGATATGGATAATCACAATATCACTATCTGTAGTGCTACTGTTAAGATAACACTTTTGATAAAGTGCTGTTAATAAGATAAGTAACAACTTAACTAGATTGAAGGATCTATATTTCTGCTTCAAGTTATGTCTCAATACAAAGACTGAGAATGGTGCTAGATAAACATAACTTTAATGATCAATATATGGCTCACATAATATTAATTTAACAGCATTTGGACAATTTGGTATTTTTAATCATTTAGAAGAGGTTTGAATATACTACCTTTTTTTGTAAACACCTTTATTTTCCATGAAATAGAAAAGCACAGTGCGTCAGGAATGTTGAGATGAAATAAAAAGACTAATAAATAATTTTAAACACTTCATTCGGTGGAATGAGAGGAATTTGTCCATTAGATATTATGCTTTAGTAAAACCTAATATTTATGGCCCCCAAGGGAACCCTAACAGCTCTCATATTAAACTCCTGGTTGCGTCCAGTCAACATCCAATCTTCCTCCTAATTTGAGGCACCAGTTGAAAAAAAAAACTCTTGACGTGAAGTTTAGCACACCTGTTCAGAAGGTACTCTGGTAAACCCCAGTAATTTGCTGCACTCTCCTGCCAGATCAATCTGCTCCGAGGACTGATTCTCAAGACCACCTACTCGAACGTCATCGGTCTGCAGGGGCATGTTTTCCAATTGTCTAAAATTGGGTTAATCTGGTTTATTGACTACAGCCACGAGCAACAGATAAAGTTAACGGCATGCTAGCTAGCATTTTATGCTACAATTTTATTACACAGACGTTAAAGCGGTCACAGCTAGCTTTACTGTTATCCAACTCGATATAGAGCTGTTAACGGTATCTCTATTATTCAAACAGCTGATGAATAAAGGAATATTAACCTTATTTCAAAACTGTTGACTATTGAGCTAGCGTTAGCCGACGTTACGTTATCTACTCACTTCAAATGGTCCAAGGAGTGGATGTTCTTCGTTTTACTCTGTCCTCCAACCCAACTCCGTGACCGGCCGAACATGGTGGCGGTTTTCAATGGCGCTGTTGTCCAGATAGTTACGCTAATTTGCCAATGTCAGGGACTGCGTTGATCCATAGCACCCACTTTCCCCTGCACCGATACCTGCTTAGCAAACAGAGGAAGATGGGCGGAGACGGCAGCGGAAGGGGCGCACTGCGTAATGGGGCATTCTGGGAGTTGGCGTTCTCATCGACGAATCAGGGCCTCTGTCATATTGTGCGTGGCAGGTATCCTTGGAAACCAATTTAAAGTATGGCTGAAATCCGAGAAAAATACTAAAGTTTACGTTCATTTTAGTACACAACAAAAGTGACAATGAAAACAAATGAAAGTGTGCCCGAGTTTACATCTGAATGTATATGAATTTACTTACATTTGAAAAAGAATGAGGATAAGAATAGTGACAGTATACTAATGTTCCAACAATTCTATAACAATTATTTTATATTGCAAATTATTTAACACTTTTCCCATTTTTGTATTAAGTTATAAAAGCATTATTTCTCTTAGAAAAAAACCCAGTTCAAAGTCAAACTTGTATTGGTTTCCGAGTCGAACTCGCCACTCCGAATATGGCGGACTTGTTCACGTGTCGTTTCCACGGGCCAATGCGGTGTCTCCCTGGAAGGAACTACAAGTTCTCCGTTAGGTAGTGACGCTTATTTCATGCGACGATTATTCTTCATTTCGCCCTTCTGCACTTGATTGTCATCTCTATTGGCCAATCACCGTAAAGAATGCTAATTAGCGAGCCAATCAAAAGGCCAGGGCTTCGACTGCGCTTCGTGGTAGTCTGTGTTTTGATGTAGTTGGCATAAACGTTCTGGGACATTTAGCTTCGGGAACGTCGTGAAAATGCGCTGTTTTTGATTACCCGTTTCGTTTTCTCGTTGCCCGGGAGTACACCAAGGCCATCATACATACAAATGTGCGAGTTTGTTTTGGCTAACCTTGGATGCAACTGTTTTTAGCCGCGGCCAGCTGGCATGGCGTGAATCCGGCGACCCCGCAGGAAACCAATGTGGAGAATGCGTCGAGCAAGCCAGGACGACATTTGAACACGGTCCTTGAGTTATTATTAGCAATGAGCGTATCGCCGTCCACTTTGCCCGCTTTCTCCTTCATTTCTTCAGGCCCGCACAGATAGACCGCCGAAAACCGCAAAGCTCCCTCGGTTCCCACTGCGAGTCGGGCCGAGCCGACATGGATGCGGTTGTCCCATTAACTCAGCCCGACTGTCCACAATAGCTGCCGCCGACCGAGCCCGAATCAAGCCCTGCTCAAACCACGCCGCGGCTGTCCGTGTTTTCTATGACACGCTCGGTTTATGCCCAGCTCGATTCGGTGGAATTGCTTTTGGACGAGCTCCCATATATGTTTTATTTGGGCCTGTTTTTTGTGAACGTCCTCATACTCTACTATGCTTTTCTGATGGAGTACATCGTCCTAAATGTGGGGATAGTGTTCCTGCCCGAGGACATGGACCAGGCGCTGGTGGACCTCGGCGTGCTGTCCGACCCGGCCTCCGTACCTTACGACACGGACCAGGAGCTGGACGTGTTCGAGGGATACCTGGAATGACGCGGTGTGACCGAGGAAGCGAAGATGGGGGGTGGGAGGCCTCCCAGTGGCTGCTAGTGGAGGCTGCCTCCTGCAGAGATGTCTTATTGAAAAAGTAAGTTTCTAAAGCCCAAAACAAATGCACATTGTCAAAATTAATATTTAAATTTTATTCAGTGGACTTTTTTTTTTAAAGCTGACCTTTTCACCCCCAGGTTGTCTCGGCTCAAAGGAAGGTAGCCTTTTGCAAAGAGACCCAGGACTCTTCGGGGGGGGACTCTACTGAGGTCCAGTCACCCGCGGCTGGGTTCCAGTAAAAACAAAAAGCTACTTCCTGTACGGAAGAGTGTGGTTCCGATGACTTGCATGGAGATCCGGCAGCCTGGCATGCACTCCCAAAAATCTTTCCAGGCTTATATGGGATCCGATTGTTCTTTGAGCAGACGGTCTTCAAAATGAATCCAATCAGCGGCCGTGTACATTTCAGTGTCATACTCTACGCCGCGAAACATTTGAGAACTGTTCCGCTGTGGCACGGTTGGTATATAATCACTCTAAAGCACGTCGGACCCCGCCGCCGCTGCTGCTGCTGGTTGACTGAGTCAGAATGGGTTATTTTGAGCTTCCTCTCACTGTATTCCAGCATCATCAGGGACAGGCACTGTCTCAGGAGTAAAGATGGCGCCTCTCGGTGTGCTGGCAGGTCTTGTTTTACTAGAAAGCTGCAAGACTGTAAAGCAAAAACGTTGCTTATTTTGTGCTTTTTCACTGAAAAGCAGAAAGGAATGATTTTTATTTTTTTTTCTTCTGTTTTGTATTTTCACAGTTTGGTTCACGTGGATTTTATTTTGGCTCAAACGTGTTTTAATATTACGAATAAAACCCCATTCCAGGGACATTTTTATTCATTTTATTCAGGTGATTTAGGCTGATTGAACTTTGCATGATTTTTGTGTCACGAGTTGATTGAACTGAACACGTTTTCCTCGTTCTTGCTTCGTTTAAACGATCGTAAAGCTGAAACCCCTTTCACAAGGTGGATGTCCTCGACAGCAATAATAAAGTAGAGTAACGCAGTGGTCGATTGGACGGCGGTGAGATGATTTGCCTAATTTAGTGAGAAAGAGAACACCCTGTTCTCAGGGCCGACTGTAAGACTGTTTGTTGGGAATTGATCTCTGAATGTACCATCCATGCTGCAGATGTGGAAGGAGTGAGCTAAAGCGTTTAGCTGAATGCTCACTTGACAATAAAAAGAAAACTGTTCTTATTTTCTCCCAATGAGGCTGACTTGCAGAATGTCTTTTGCGTCGTCAACCCGACATGCACCTGCATGTTCCACTCTGAAGTTTGAATCCAGATCTCCTTTCTGCCAGCTTTCCTTCAGTCCGTCAGACTGCCCTGATTTTAATGTCAATGACACTGCCTGGTCTGCTGGCACAGCAACCTAAACGTCTGGTGAGCGACCCAGGTCTCTCCAACTGAGCTGTAGATGCAAGTAATTCCACCCTAATGCAAGACTGTTTTTTCTAAAGCTTTGTTAGACTCAAGCCGGCGTCGATCGTTGAAGCCGGGTTCGAAAAGCAATATGTAAATATGAATCTTTGAATTTGTGCGTAACCCAGTGTTACCATATTTTTTTGTTTTTATTATTACTTTGTGACCAAATTTAAAACAGCCTCTTGGTTTGATCGCTCACAATTAGAACTCAGGAAATTGCTTTTAAGTAATTATTGTAAGCTAAGTTTGTACAAAATTTGACCAGATGGAAGCAAATATTCAAATCAAAGTAAAACAACCAGCACCTGATGGTGAACTCACAGGTACTGCCTGTGGGGAAAAAATAAATAAATTATAGCCATTTTTGGGCAATGGTAGAAAATGTGATTCATTTAGTTTGAATGTTTAAAAATTGTACAAAGTACAAGATCAGTTTGAATCAATGCCAACTTCACTGAAATCTAGCTTTGATTGTAAAATCTCCTCGTTGCCGTTCGCAGCATCGCTGTTTTGAATCCGGTGACTACATCAGACATTCAAGTGACTCGCAGACACCGCCAGTGGAGTGTCAGGGGAAAAAAAAAGTTCTGTTTCAAAACACTCATAGCCTGTAATCATCAGCATTACAGCGCAGCAATGTTCATCTGACCCCGTAAACGAACAAGAACTTTATATATGACTCAACTCCTAAATATGTGCTATACCGTTGTCATGTGGTTGGATTCAGCCACGCTTCACTCTGAAATAAAAATGATTTTCAAATGATTGCATTGTGTCTTCACTCAGCCGATTCAGACGGCCTTTACTCTGAGTCATAGTGTGGTCAGGAACATTGTCGAGCAGATTCTAGGTTTTACTTTCTGATTACGTGTGAAACACCCAGATTTTTAGCATCGTCCTAAATTTTCCCAGAGGGTTTTGGATCATCATCCTGTTTCAGCACCACTGTGGAAGTTTGTACTATCTAGCTGCTGATTTGTGGTGAAGCTTGAGTCTTGTTTATTTTTTTTTTACTCCGTTTTGTGCAATTCACCAGAACCAATAGTATCTAATCAAACCCCTCTGCACGATACATCTAGCTCAGTGTTTGACACCTACCGGTGTGCTGTATTGTAAGACGACTCTTGATGCATCCAAATACACTAACATAAAAAATATCCCCGAGACATTTGGATGGATCATGTGCATGGCAGCAAATTTCAATCCAGTATAAACTTGTACATTCTGATTCAGGTTCTTTTTTCTTTAAGTTTGCTCTCTCCTATGAACAGTTCCCAGTTCATAAAGAGCTTGAATATATGAGGTCATTCATGAAGGTCCAGACCAATAACTTTTCATCCAAGTTTGAAAGTTGTCGAAACTGAGAAATGACTGGAGCGTTCCAACAGAACAATAAAGGAATAGTTGTTAGACTTCATTTCAAATGAAGTCTAACAACTTTGCCAAAAAGAGAAATCAAACAGCCAGCCATAATCTTACCAGAAACACACTTTTGGACTGTACATCCTTCTGTTATGTCATATTTTAGCCACAAGAGTGCGCCACAGAGCAGCAGAAATACACTCCCCTGTAGAAATAAATCACTATGACTCCATAACGACACATTCATGTGCCGAGAGGGAATAAATGTGTACAATAGCTTGAGTTGAGTTTACATGAGTACAAATTAAAACACAACTTGCTCCAGTTTTCAAATCCATTTATTAGATTTGTGCTGTAGTTGGAAGCTCATCCCAGGAGAGGTTAGCACGTTGAGATCCCGCTCCACATTTGTAACATTGCATCCAAACACAACTCTGTTCGACTACTAATGCGATAGACGTCGTCCTTCAACATCATCCTGAAGGATGATGCGTAAAAAACACACAGAGCTGCAGGCAACACTGAAAGGTCAGTCTGTGTGCAAATAGGGAACCGAAACTTGCAGGAGAGGAAGTATAAAGGCTGGTTTTTAATAACCTCAAGACTTGAGTAGAAAAAATAAACATGTGACACCACAATTAAATGACATATATATGTGTAAAGATAACCAGGCTATGAGTTGTAGTTCACAACCAGAAAAACAAACACAAACAAAAATTTAAATTGAAAACTGCTTTTCCGTGTACACGATATAAAATTGTGCAAAGTTTATATAAAGCATTCCACACAGGTGACCCTGGGTGGTGTAAGTGTTAATCCTCCTTTAAAGAGTAGCTAGAATCTCTCCCTGATGAGCTGAACAGCAGCTAATTATTGTAGTGCAAATCTTCACATGCATTTCGTGTCATGATTTGAATGCTTTAGAACACTTAAAAGGGTAGTGTTCACATGAATCCACAAGACAGATTAATTCAGTGCAAGGTAGAACGTTCCTGTGTTTTCTGAGGACCATATTATTGCCAGAGGATGCGGCTGTCCTGCTGCTTGAGTCTCTCAAAAACTCCATATGGGATACACTGGTTCCACATCCTGGGATGAGATCAGACCAAACTGAGTTAATGAGATGAAAAAAACAACAACAAAAATGTGTTGTTTAGTAACACGACTCACCTCAAAGTCTTAACTTTAGAGCACTTTCTCAAGCTGGCTCCCAGGCTTTGTGCTCCAATATCCGTCATCTTGTTATATTTAATGCTGTCAAATGAAAACAAACAGGGAAACACAAAGCTGTTAAACAACAGGGAACATATGACCTATGCAAAAATAACTTTATGCCTGAATGATTCTCAAAATCATTCAGGCGTAAAGTTGCTTATGTATTCATTCACATGTCATTTTCACTTATTGCTGTTCTACAGAATAAGCAAACAGGAAGTTGTGCAAACTGTTGAAGTGGAGGAAGAATAGTGAAGAATTGTTTGCAAGTTAGTTTTTTTTTTTTAACAACAAAAACCTGAAAAGTGTGGCATGCAACTGTATTCTGCGTCACCAAATCACAACTTTGTAGGGGTGTATTTGCTCCCATTGAGATATTGAAATATAAATGATGTTTTTGGCCATTCTTCTTGGCAAAACAGCTAAATCTCAGACAAATTTAGCGTTCTGTGTGTCGGTCAAAGCATATACTGTCTCACTAATTAAATAATAAATAGGAAAAGATCACTGCTGCTTTACAGATTTTTTATTTTATTTGCACAATATCTGAAAATAATGTTTAATTTTTCAAAACTGATGTAAGTGCTTCAGATGCACATTACATTCAGTCAGAGTGCAGGAATCACTGGATTTAGTTCCTTCTTTATTCATCAAACTGTCTAAAAATATAAGCTGGCTATACGGCTCTCTATGCTTTGCATTTCACATGTATCAAGCGTTCATAAATTGTCCTATCCGTTAATATTTCTGACGCCAAGAAGGAACGGAAAACTTACTCGAGGTCTGTGAGTGAAGCCATGTGTGGGAGGACAGCTGCTAAACTCTCTGCCCCTTCGTCGGAAATCACGTTACTGTACAGACTGGAGTCCACAGAGATGGAAGTGAAATTTTGTGGTTCAAAAACAAGATGCCATTTATAGATGCTTGTGTCGGCACCCGTTAGTGCGCCTGACGCGCAGTTCAGACCTTAAACAGTGCAGCTTGGGCAGGTCCTTCAAGGCGAGAGCTAGCTTCTTCACGCCCTGGTCACCTATGCAGTTCTCGGACAAACTGAAAACAAACGAGCTTGTTGAGCTAAAATGTTAACAAGGAAATGGGGAAGAGGAAAGAGAAAAGGGGAAAGCATGGACTCACTTTAGTACTTCCAGTGAGCGAAGGGAGACCAACGCATTTGCCAGTTTCTCTGCCCCTTTGTCTCCGATCTTACTGTTTTCCACCCTGTAGGAAGTTTGACGAAGGGATCATTAGAAGAGTGTCTTGTGTGAGGAGGCGACTTGAAACGGAGAGCTATGTGTACTTACTCCAAGTGCTGCAGGTTATGGAGCCCAGGGAGAAGGTCCCACAGTTTGGGAAGAGCCAAGGGACTGTTTTCTGGGCCGAGCCTTAAAGAGGAGCAACTGTTACCATCAGAATGACATCAACACGATTTTGATTGGTATTGCTTTTACTGTTTTCTCCAATCCTGTTCCAATTACTCACTCAAATTCCAGCTTGTGCAGCTCTTTCACTGCTGGCACCCCGTCTGCCAGGAGAGGATTTGATTGGCCGGAGCTGCGGTTAAGCATAAAAGTCAATCAATCAATCAAACACTGAACATTTCAAATGAGCATTGATCACTGTGTGTATCTGTCACACCCCACCTGTCCGAGAGCCTCTTGCTGGTGTGTATGCCGACGAGCCTTTCCAGGTGCTCTATGTGACAGACCTGAGTGGCTTTCAGAGGATGGATCTTGAACTTGGACACCGCTCCTCGCAGGAGACCTTCGTCGCTCGTCTTCTCCAGCTCCTCCCACAGAGTGACGACGTCTGCTATGCAGGCCCTGAGGAACGCGCAGGCTCCATTTTAAATACGTACATAATGCACTTGATTTGACTGCGTCATTGCTGGAATTCATGTTGCAAACAGTTTTGGAGGCTCTACCGGGATGCACCAGACCATGTATGCAATAGCTTGCATACTCACAATTTCCCAGATACGGTTGCTGCAACAGCATGCGAGCGCGCAAACACACAAACATCCAGAATTTCCCTCTGATCATATTAGAAACATAGGATCCCAATATTTACACAAATACAGTTGTCTATGTCTTGAACAAAGTTAAAGACATAGTGAGAACTGGCAGCTCTTTATTTGAACCTTTTTTTGGCCTCAAAGAGAATCAGAGCACCATAACCCTCCAAGTCAAATGTTTTTAGGTGATAAGTAGTTTTGTGGGTTTGGAAAGTGTGACAGACTGAGGTAATCTGATTATACCTATCGGTGTGCAGACATATGTTTCAAGCATTAAATATAGCTATCAACTCCAGCTAGAATAAATACCTTACCGTTTTTTTACACAACAATAATACAACACATTCTGAATTCAACACAAATCTCGTCATATCAAAAATGCAGATTTATAGTGTCCTCAAATTATTGAGACCTTCTTGAGTCCAAATGTCTAAATTTGTTAGATGTTTAAGATGTTTAGTTTAGAGCCTTTTTAGCTACCAAAAGGTTTATTCGATTTTTTTATTGCATTGTTCGCATCTAGAGACATTACAGAGATTGTACGAAGCCCTTTTCAGTTCCTAATACGAGTCGCAGCAGCTTTCTGCACCATCACACAGTTTTCAGTTCTGCATGCATCCTTGGGTTGTGACAGATCGGCGTACGAAAGCTCGAGAATAATGAGACAACTTTAATTTTTCTCCCTTCTCCCGTGAATGTCAGACACGTTCAAATATGGCCCCATTTAAGCATCTATTTATACTGACAGAGCAAAAGCACAGAATGTGGTGAGATGTCTGTGCAGATCCAGCAGCATGTTTCTTTTAACATGCTGTTTGTGTTTTTCTCAGCTTCATTTGCAGGCAGGAAATGCTTGCACAACCACACACCTTGTGAGAAAAATTTTGCTGCAGTCTTCACTCTTTTTTGAATCACAAATGTGTTTCCTCTTATAAAACACCCATTTTTCTAAGCACTACTACACAGCGTGGCAGTGCTTACAGAGTGGCTGAACTTTCCTTAAACATTTTTCCGATCGTCATGTTCTCTCTCTTTTTTTTTAAAGGAGCTAAAAATGATCTGAGAATCAGAGCAGTTTGGTAAAAACCAAATTCGAAGATGTTCATCTTCGACACGTCAAATGTAAAAGATTTTCTCTCAACATAACATCAAAATCCAATCAGATAAAATGCTATGA